AACTGAATTCGAACAAAAGAATCGATGAATTAACAGAGTTTGATCAGATAGAGCTAATACATTGTCGCCATCATATCGGCAATCAAACCAATAGGAAAAACAATTTCCATCATCATCTCAAGCTCTGAAAACTTTAAATCAAACAAACATACACAATAACTGTCAAAAAGTTTACCGTAATTCGCTGAATCCATGAACACCATTGACAAAGAACTAGAAACGATCCAATTAAGTTTTGATCGTTTTCTAAGGAAAATCGGCGATTATCCGAATTGGGGGTTTAACGTTGAAACCCTAGAAGACTTCGTGCGTATATAAAGGGAAATCTGGAAGTGAGGGTGTAGTAGGGTTTAGCATATTCAGAAAGTTACATGAATAGTCCTTGTAGATAACCATATCTCATATTTGGTCCTTAGGATAAAAAGGTATGCAATTTTGACAATTTATTCATAATTCGGATCTATCCAAAAAGCAGTTAAATTTCAGATTATTCGGTTCAAATTCGGGACTTGGTTGAAACCGAATTAAATATCGGTTCAGGTTTTTTCTAATTGTGTCTCGTTCAAAAACTATAATGAATCAATATTTTTTTTAATTTTCAGTTTATCAAATTTTAATAGTAGCAGAATGTCTGGTAGCAATCCAGTAATTGAAGTTGAGCAGTAGTCGTCGACATTTGAATTACCCAATTTAGTTGGTCGTCATTTCAAACCGGTGATAACACAACAATAGCGTTCTTAATGGCCGTTTACTAAACGCTTACCCGGTAAATGCGTACCAGGTCATTTACCTTATCGAAGATACATGACAATGCTGAGAATCTTACTTGGTAAAAGAGCGATGAAAAAAATTGAGAGTCTTATCCGATAAACTCTTACTGGGTAAACCATTACACATGATGTTGTTTTGATGAACTGTAATCTTACCCATTAAAGTAAGTTTGTTTAGGTAAACAACCCTTTAATTAGAGTTTTATGAACCCAGCAGGATTAACACAAAAGGTTGTCGGGGTAATTCAACACTTACCCGATAAGTGTTTACTGGTAAAAGTCAGCATTTACATTTAACTTACAGAGTAAGATTTTAGTTTATTAAAATGGCATCTTATGCAACATTTTTATATGGTAAACACTTATCGGACAAGAGTCATCACTCTACCGAGTATGACTCAGTTATTTTCATCACTCTTGACTGATAAGATTCTCATCATTGTTATGTTCATCTGTAAACATTTACATGATCAAATTTTATTTGGATTGTTTGTTTTTTTCATCTTTTTCAGACCTTCGTCTATTATCCTCATTTGGAAAAAGAAAAGAAACCCTTATATCTTATCCACTGGATCGACTTCAACCTCAATCAATCACTTTGCTCAATGAAATTGGTTCATCAATCAATCTTCATGGCTTTCCACCAATCAATCGACAAACCTAAACTCCTCTCGATCGATCGATCTACATGATTCCTCAGCACCAATCGATCTGACCCATCCCTCCAAGATTACTAGACTCTCTCTCAAAGGTATTGTTCTATATGTATAAAGTTGTCTGTGTGGATTTTGTATAGATCGAGAAAGTTTTTGTTTGGAAGAGTTTTCTAATAGATAAAAGAAGCGTGTTTTTAGTTGACGGGACATGTTTGTAAAAACTTGGCTTTCTACATAAAACCCTCTAGAATCTTAGTGAATAAGTCATTTTCTATACCACTAAGCCATTACCAAAAAGTCATGAATAGCTGACCGAATAAGTTGTGAGTATCATTAAGCTGCTAATAAACAGACCCTAAGTGTTAATTGATTACATTCATGAATTTCTTTCTATTTTGATTAACCTGCATATACAGTTTAGTACGTTTTTATTCCAATTGCATATTGTCAGTGACATTTAATCGAAGGCAGTATCAGCACTCTTCAAATTTTGTAATATTGATGGATAAACAAATGAAGCTGTATAAATTGATATAAACTTAACATTATAATATGTTGAAGGGTAAAATATATGAATTATACATATTCAGACAATTATCAGTACATAAAAACAAACAGTTTTATTGATTTTGCATTCAGACTTGAGACCATCTCTTATCAATCAGAAGTGAAATAAAACTCCAGATTTCAGCATCTCTTAAAAACAAAGAAATATTTTTAGCCCTTTTGGATATTGTTTCCCCGACTTTAAGAAAAAGAACAAATAGATCATACACATCACGAGTCACATGAGTAGAATAGAAAAAATGACAAGTGATATGATGAGAGATAACCGAAATTGAGTGATAAACTTTAGTGAATTGGCAACAAAGATCGACAATAATTTCCTTTTCTAATCCATTTACTGTCCGATCGAGAATCCTGATCTTCACTTCAACTAAGGACGTGTTTGGGATTGCTGCTTGTTAACTTTAATACAATGTGGTACCAGTAATAAACATTTTTTAGTGTTTAGATGAGAAAAAAAAGAACTTATACAAGTAGTTCAGTAATAAATAGTTTTTGATAAGTTATTTCAATCATTGGGTTTGGAAACCAAATGACCAAAATGACCCTTTTTAACCCCCAAACCAAACGCCTCTTCCTTTTGGTTGAAACTCTGGGTACGCCTCCTTCCTCTGGAAATCGAACCAGTCTCTCAGTCCTTCAAGAAATCGAATCGAACCAGGTCCTCAGAGAAATCGAACCAGTCCTTCAAGAAATCAAATCGAATCGAACCAGTTCCTCCAACAGAAATTGAAATCGAAATCTCCATCCACCACCGAATCGACCTTCTTCCTCACGTAGGCGATCTCTTGATGTCATTTCTCCTACAAATCTGATTTTTTTGGCCTCTGTGATAATCAATGTCTTGCATAAATCGAATACAAATCTGTTCTCAAAAAGAGTTTTGAAATCAATAGGGAATTTTAGGGTTTCTTAAAAGTTGAATCATTGATATACATATGTTTATTTGGCCTCTGTGATGAAAGATGTTAGAAAATCGAATGAACAATACTAATGGCAGCCACAAATAACTTATCTAAGTTATTACATTTTACTAACCTAATCCAAACATGAAACTCCAGTTTGACACCGTCTTATGATAGGTTGTCCAAACACCCACTGGAAACTCTTACTTCCAATTACAAACCTTAGTGCGTGGATCCGGACATCCCTTTTCTCGGCCGATTCCCCTCACTGCTCCATCCTCCGGTGATCCCGACTCTCGCCCCCCTCCGGCGACCCTTTGGCCAGCGATTGGCAGCTTTCAGGTTTAACTATATTAGCCTTTCTTTTACTACTTGTCGACTCTCTCATCTCAACAAACCCAGAAACAGGCAGAAACATCATAGGCTCAAGCCCTAGTTAATTGAGCTTTTCTTGTAATCTCTGATTTATTTGAAGTCAATATGTTCCTATGTGGCCATGTATTTGTTATCTGCTGATTTCTGTGTTGCCACTCGCTGTTGTTCCTTTGTGTGTATACAACACACACACACACATATTAATCTGTTGCTGCTAAGTTGCTTCAAAATGCTTGACTGAAAGTATTAACCTTAAGTATATCTGTTCTATTCATCGATTATACGCAGAACATAAAACACTTCCAATTCATTTTAGATTATTAACCTTAATGTTTCATAATCATTTTATTTTGCCTCCAATTCATCTAGGAGTAAAAAATATAAAATAATAGTATTGCTCCATGTGATTATTCTGTTTAACTGAAATAGTAAAAAAGTAACTGGCAACCGAATAGCCGAATCTGTTTTGGTTCAGGTGGGTTATTTGGTTTCTGATGCTTTTGACACCCCTGGGTGTGCCCAAGTCATCTGAGGTTCTGAATCCGCCCCTTTACAGTTGTATTGTTGGTGCTTGTAATTGTTTATGTTATACGAACAGAACTTAATTGTGTACATGGATGGGAATGAGAGAAAATGATTTATGTTTTATAGGGGTTTATAAGGATGGGATTGAGTAAAACCGAAATCAATCTGAGGCGATTGCTAGCAGCTGCTCCTCAGCAACAACATCAAGCGAAACTTATTCATGTACGTTATCTACATGTTGGTAATTGATTCTTGCTACCCAATTGTTGATTTACTGATTTGAAAATCTTAGTAATAAATCTATATGAAATATGATATTTCCGTACCATCTATTGTACGTTATCTACATGTTGGTAATTGATTCTTGCTATCCAATTGTTGATTTACTGATTTGAAAATCTTAGTAATAAATCTAATCAAATATGATTATTTTCCGTACCATCTATGGTTTGCACATTGTATTTGATTTAATAGTATTTCTTTGAATTGAGTTTGTATAGATTTTAACAATGCCACTGCCAATTGATTAACTTCTTGTGTAAATGGGGTGATGCTTTGTTATGCTCATATAGAGTGTCGATTTCACAGTATGTTGGTACTCTCAGAGAGCAGTTGGAGCAACTCGCTGCAGAGCGAACTTCAGAAGGATTACCAAGGTCTGATTATATATTGCTTTAAATGGTACTTAAAGTTTCATAAAGCAAACAACTTGATAAGATTTTGCTTTCCTTTTGGTTTCTGTAGAGTTTCAAAAGCTACTTTGAGTGATTACTCTGAGAAAATTGAAGCAATTGCTGCTAACTTGGCTTCCAATGTGGTACGTATATTTCTATCTTTAGGGCATCTCCAATGGGTAACACCAAATCCATAAAAATTGGGGTAAAATTTGGTGCAAACAGTAAATTTTCTCCAACGGGTAACACCAAAATATAAGATTCACTACAACAAATTTGGTTTTATAGGGCGCCTAAAATCTTTAAGCGTTCTAATAAAATATTTTATAAGACATAAGTTTATAGGACCAGATCAAGAAGCGTCCTATGTAGAAGTGTTACAATAGGTTTATAAGACACTTTTATGCGTTTTAACAAGTTTTTTAGACGCTTTTAAAATAAAGTGTTATTTTAGCTATTTTATACGACACTATTTGAAAAAGTGTCCTATAAAAAGATAAGTTTATAGGACACTTCTCAAAAGTGTCCTATAAAACAGCTAATAGGACACTTTATTTTAAAAGCGGTCTAAAAAGCTTGTTGAAACGCTCAAAAGCGTTCTATAAACCTATTGTAACGCTTTCAGATATGATGCCATGTAGTTTGGTCCTATAAACTCAAGTTCTATAACGTATTATATTAGGACGCTTAGACATTTTAGGCGTCCTATAAAAGCCAATTTGTTGTAGTGATTCTAGGTATATTCATTTTTATCTTTTCCCATTGCTGTAAATGAATAGTGTTACACCAAATTTTGTGTGTTACTATTCATTACGCCAAATTTAGTGTAAGATTTGGTATCCCCTTTGGATTGGCTATCTTGTTATGTTTGAATCGACAAGTGAAACTTTCATCTTATTTGCTTGTTTAATTTATTTGTTGTCATACTTTGTAACTAGACTTCAAATGCTATCTAATTAGAGTCAGTTTGCGGTAAGAATAGTAGTTATCGTGAGAAGGGTAAGAAGGGATCTCCATCCTTGGATCAATCCTAATTGAAGATCAATAAAATACCGTTCTAAGCTAATTCATGGGTTATTTTGGGACTTAAGCTGAACCCATTAAAGTGATCAAGGATCCAAATTTCTTCTTACGCTTCTCACCTTAACTCCTATTCTCACACGATCTTTCATCTAATTAAAGATAATTTTTCTTCTATTTGTTAGTTGATTAGTGTAGAATCTCCAGAGCTGCCCACTGCTGACACTTCTGTTAACCAAACGACTACAAAAACAGAAGAAGGAAGAGGGTTGAGAAGAAGAATTGTGTGAGTAGAATTCTTGATTTAGTTTGCTTTTTGTTAAGAGTTGATGTTTATGGTTGTTGTTTGATTGTGATTCAATTCGTTAGCCCCCCATCAACTGTTGAAGGCAGAGTCCCAAAAAGCGTTGATGCAACTGATTCAACTCCTATAAAATTGGATGCCGCAGCACAGACACATATTTCAAAGCACAGGTACTCGCTTTTGCTGTCCCCAAGATAAATACAATATTTGCCTCAACATATATTTGATTGCATGTCAAATATCCAAATACATATAAAATATAAATGAATCTTGTGGACCATAAATTAATGTTAGGGGCTGTTTGGTTAGTTTTTCATTAAGTCTTGTATGGATAAAGTTGTATGGGTGAATTAATTTGTCTGTATAGATTGAGAAGGTTTTTGTTTGGGAGAGTTTTTTCATAGATGAAAGGAGCGTGTTCTTTAATTGGGAAGGGCATATTTGGAAAAAAACTTAGCTTTCTACATAAAACTCCCCCTAGAAGCTTACTGAATAAGTCACTTTCTATATCATTAAGCCACTACCAAACGGTCATATATACCTGACCGAATAAGCTGCGAGTCTCTTTAAGTTCATTAAGCTGCTAACAAACAGACCCGTATATTGTTCTCATAAATGAAACCAGATGGAGCCAGTAAATCTCACTTGAAAGTAGGGTCTATAAGGTGAGATGTATGTAGATTTGACTTCTAGCCCAACAGGGTAGGACGGCTTTTTTCTTGAAGACCATATCTTATAATGACTAGTAGTAATGGGTAAAGATGTAATTTTAGATTGAAACTTCGGAATCTCGAGAAGAAAATTGTTAGCATTTATTTGGGGTGGAGGGGTATAATGGTACAAAACAAAGCTTAAGGCATTGCTTGGTGACCTGTTTGGTGTCAAGGTCTTAAATATCCTTCATCAGTGACAAAGTAGAGGAATGCTGACAATTCTTTGAATGGGTAAATATGTAATTTTAGATTAAAAAGTTCCAAAAGAAAGGGAAATGTTATCATTTTGTTCAGCTTCGTCTGTTTGGCAAATTCTAGTCATATTGTTGCAATTTTCATGGGGGCGGATATTCTTTCATCTACGTTATAATAAGATGAAATGGTGGTGTTATTTTTTTCTTTTTGTTTTGATAGGAAGCTCCAAGAAGACTTGACCGATGAAATGGTGGGGTTGGCACAACAACTGAAAGAGAGTACTCTCATGATGAATCAATCTATTAAAAACACCGAAAAAGTAAGTTGCAACAAGTCACGTTCCATTCACAAATTGTGTTCTGAGCCCTTGTACCAAAAGGGTCATTGGCCTAGTGGATTACTGGTAATCCACTACTGGTTTAGTCGTCTCCCAGGAGGTCAAAGGTTCATATTTCACCAAAAGAGAGGAGTGTACGTGAGTATCTTTGAAAGGATGTCCTAGGCTTAGGCTATGCCCATACTAAAGAAGCCCAGATAAACTCAATGGTTACAATTGTTGTGGACATCTGGAATTGAACCCATGACAGATGGGATGTTCCACCACATCTCTTCTGGACCTCAAAACACAACGCCACAAGCCGTATATAAAATTTTAAAAAAATGTTTGGTGTGTAGATTGTTGATTCGACAGAGCAAGCGGTGGAGCAGAGCTTAGCAAGCACGGGGCGAGCGAATACGCAGGCAATGGCTATATATTCAGAGACATCCAAGACTTCATGTTTCACATGGCTTGTGATGCTTCTAATGACATGTATCTTCATTATGGTGGTTCTTCTTATCAAAGTCACTTAAATCTAGACTTCAAATATTAATTAATATTTGTTGCCTTAATTACAGAAGGAACTCGAATGTTAATATTTGTGTGGTTTTCATGTTAATACCTGGATATTTATTGGATTACTTTTTAAAAGAGCTCTTGACGAGGGAATGAATGATCCAAACATATATAAAATTGAAATGGATTTACGTTTGGCTGTCGTGTGATTTAAACACGCCTCTTCCCATGAAGGCTAGATGGCCACAATACGACTCAAAATTTAATCCAGTCCCTGAACAAGCTGTGCTAATCATTGGTGCTATGAAGCTCGACTCATTGAATTAGTTCGAGTTCGACTTGAGCTCGAAAATTATTAAGCTCGAGCTCGAGTAGCTTGTTAAAAGTTCAACTCGTTTACACCTTTAGTATCGACTGTCAAGTTCCTAGAGTGGTAGATCTTGACTTTGATATCGTGTGAGAATATATGAAACCAATTATTCAAAATTTGAAGTAGTTTTGTGATATATAAAAGCTGATCACTGATAAAAACGGAGGAAGGGAGTACCTCATTTTATAATGGATCACTCTTATTATTATTTTTTGTCCAAAAAGATCCGGAAAAACCAAATATATGTAGGTAAACTTGTGCCGTATGTCTATTGATGAATCATCGTACATGAGTTAATCCAACATGTTCATGGATCATGGCCGAGTCGAAGCTCCAAATCCAGTTCATCGTCTTCATTTCTCCCCCGAATGCTTTCTTCTTCATCTGACCAACCAAATTGTAAGCTTAAGCCTAACCTCAATCTCATCTCTTCTCGAGATGGGCTTGTGATCGATCCATTAGGGTTTTGGTGTTTGCCATGATAATTGTCATCATGCATCAAGCTAGGGCTCGATCTTGACATGAACTCGTGAGTCTGTCCCTCTTGATGATGACGAGCTTGGGTGCACCTTGTGATGAAACATGGCTCGTAGAATCTAATGCTTGGACTCTTGTTGTTGGAAGGATTAGACCTACGAATCTTGGCTCTATCTTTCCGGTGGATATTCATGTGCCCGCCCAAGGCTTGTGCTGTAGTGAACCCATGCTTGCAGTACGTGCATTCATAGGATCGCTCATCTTGCGACTCTGGAAGATCAGCCATCAAATTCAACTGATCAACTTGTTCAATTGAATCCGTTGGATGATCTTCGCAATCTAACATTATGGATTCCATTAAATAAACTGCGAGTTCTCTAATTAAGCAATCAGAATTGGGGGGGGGGGTTAGTTAGTCCTTTGATCAACAAGACTTGTTCAATTCTTTAGCCGGCTATGTTTAAAATATATCGTCAATGGTGACTTGTGTATTGTCTTATGCTTCAATTCCCTACAAATTTCGCGTCGTGTGGAATTATGCTCACAAATTTCGTCTTACGTGCTTGGATTTACGTGGCACCCGATTGTCGTGTTTAAATGACCACCAATCATTTAGTGGACTAATTAATGAGCGTTCATATATAACGCGCTTTGAAATATATATTTTTGAAAAAAATTAATTTATTCATGTTCAGTTTCGTGGAACGAGTTCAACTATTATTTATACGTATATACACGTTAAAATTACATTCAATATTATTATTTTTCTATTTTTTACGGAAGACGAAGAACTGTAAATAAATAATGAAATTAACATAAATTGATGAAAAATTAGTACACAAGCAATACATACGATTTGAATCTTTAAAGTCGTATTGCATAGTTTCACTTTCGATTCTTGAGGTCGAGTTTACAAATTTAAGCCACTCAATTATGATGAAGAATCGTGTGAAAATAAGAGTTAATGTAAGAAACATGAGAAGAGATCTGGACCTCTGATCACCTTTAATCTCAAATTCATTCATGAATCGCGTTTTATACATGGTTGATCCAATGCATCTTATCTTAATGTGCATCCAATGGTGGTGATCATTTCTTACGATTCTCACATTAACTTTCATTCTCATCGGAACCGAACTCATTTTTCTTACAACAAAAACTACTCAAGATAGAAGTACTAGTGATTAATATAAATCACATTTCTAAAAAAAATCTAGTGGCTAGCTATATCTATACAATATTATAAAACATTTTACAAAAACTCTTAAAAATTGTTTTTTATGCATTAAATACTGTTTATTGATGCATATCACTTAAATTTAAGATTACAAGTAAATTGTGCGAATGTACAACTTATTAAAACTTCATGTTTAAATTCGTGTAACTAACTGACAGATAAATATAATCAAATACTGGATAATTATCTCATTTTAAATATAAAAAATCTACAATATATTTAAGATAATAACTGAATTCTAACAAAACACTAATTATTATCTTTATAAAAAAATATTATTAAACCAAAAATAAATGACTTCATTATTAAATTTAAATTAAATTATAATAAAAAACTGAATTAAAGAAATTACACAAAAAAAAAAAGAACTTTTAAAAATTTAATTTGATATTATCAATACATTTTTTTGCAAACTTTATGATATATTCAAATTTATATTTTATCCAAAAAATGAAAACATTATCGTTTTTTCAGTACCACATTAAATCGTGTTATAACATCTACGACGGAGATAGAATAAAATGAAACATTATCGAGATATATGTTGCTGCATTGCACGAGTACCATTCTAGTATATATCAATACATCTTAGTTAACATGTGTTTATAACTAAAACACAATCATAATATTATAATAAAAATAAATTGATGAAATCAATTTAAATGCAAACCCTATTTCTAATAATGACAATAATCCAAAAAATTAATCAAGTAATTTGATTTTTAGTTAATATTTCATAAAAATGTTATACATTTCTTATGTGGAGCATCTCATGGGAAAGATGATACCAAAACATTACACGATAATCAAATGAGAACTGTAAAATGGTTGAGTTTGAGTATCGTAAGAACTAATCTCAATCATTAAAGAGTTTTAATCAAAAGTTATTAAACATGATGACATTTTTGTAATATTAATAAAACTTGTGTCTAATATCGCATCTAATTCGAAAAATGGAAGGTCGTGTTTGGATTTTTTTTTGTAGCCACGTTTTTCGACTTTTACGCCATCGTTAGAATTAATCCCACAAACACACAACGGAGGCAAACGAACATCTACTTAGGCCAAAAAGTCCACGGCGGACGAACGCCACCCTCCGACAACCGCCACCACCATAACCAACCATTCTGGTACCTGCAAGAAATTGGGTTGTTTCATGGTACCAATTGACCTTCATCAACTAAGAGAAAGAGAGAGAGAGAGTGTGTGTGAGAGAGATAGAGAGAGAGATGACATAAGTATTATAACTAATAGTGTAAATTAAAGTCCCCTTTGTCCCATACTTGTTAATAGTTGTTTTCACAAAAACATAGCCTTGTAACAGGATGTTCTCTACTTCCCAAGTACCCCTCTTTTCTGCATTTTGATTTCACCTGTTGTAGGGACCTCTCTACTACTCTCTTCAATCTCCTACTATGCCTTTTTCTATATATATATATATATATATATATATATATATATATATCCATCACAATAGCTTACCTACCTCTACCCTAGGCCTAGCCTCTTGTACTATACACATCTTAATTAAGAAGCAGCATATATATATATATATATATATGTATGTATGTATACATATGTATATGAGTGTGTGTGTGTGTGATGAAACTGATACAAAATGTCTGGTTACCAAATAAGGAAAGAGGCATCATGACAAGAACCCTAAAACATAAAAGATGTGTTGGGAACAAGCAAATCAAAAGGGTGTTGGAACCCCCACATGCACCAATTGCAATCAATCATCATTCTTCCTTCAATTCATTGCCTTAATTTTCTACCTTTTACCTTTCTTACTCTAAATTTGACTCACAATCCAACTAAATTCACATCCTTTTCCATGAACACCACACATATATACCAACTCTGAACTGGCACTTCACCTCATCACACTCCATCTTAAATTTGTATACATACATACATACATATATGTATATGTATGTATATATCCTTAACTCCATTCCCATCTCTGCAGCTGTTTCAATGCCATTGATCAAATTATATTCTAAGTTGTGTTGATGTTTTCTTCATTCTCTATATGTACACATATTCATATATGAATGGATCTATAAAAAGCATCAACCTCAAACTAATTAGTTTGTGGGTTATTAATTATATACCATGTAGTCCATAAACTTGTGCATTAATATACTTTTCTTGATATAAAAATGAAGGAGTTCTATTATACCATGAATTTACCATCATAATTAACAAAAGCTTGATGTATATGTGAATGAAAAAGGAGCTAGTAGTATACTAGAGCAAGCATAGAATATATATATATATATATATATATATATATAGGGGCCTATTCAAGGGAGAACTGAGTTGTTTGTGGTAACTGTGAGAACCAATATTAACCACAAATCAATAGATAAATTAGGAAATTTATAAATTTGGTAATTTTAAATTAAAATCTTAATTCAAGGATATTTTTGGTATTTTAAAACTCTCCTCTCTCCTCTCTTCTCTCTCCGGCCACCGTCCTCCAGTGATACCACTATGATACCACTGTGATACCTAAAAATATTGACTCTGTTAAACAAAAGATACATTGTGATACCTAATCATATATAAGATGCATAGTGATACCACAGTGTTACATCTTCGATCGACCACACAAACGACATCAATGTGATACCCAAGCACATATATGATGCATTGTGATACCATTGTAGTATCACCGGAGGACGGTGGCCGGCGGACGATGGCCGGAGGACAGTGGCCGGAGAGAGAAGAGAGGAGGGAGGAAAGTTGTAAAATACCAAAAATATCCTTGCATTAAAATTTTAATTCAAAATTGCTAAAATTATAAATTTTCTAATTTATCTATTGATTTGTGGTTAATATTGGTTCTCATAGTTACCACAAACTAATTAGTTCTCATTTGATTAGGCCCCTATATATATATATATATATATTCTCATCATTAAAGATTATTCCATCTTTTTGAGGTAAGCATCAAACCATGCACAATTCAATGTGCTGAACCATAGAGCTCACATCTTTGGTCAACATAGGGTGCTTTCATACACACACACACACATATATATATATATATATATATATATGTGTGTGTACTACATAGGGTAAAACCATAATACACGGTGTCTTTTGGATTAAGAAAAATACCATACTTGATTCACATATTTGTTTAGAATCACTCACTTATGGTTTTGCAAGTTTACAAATTATAAGACATGATTTGTTTAAAAGGAAAAAGATCAAACACAATGATTTTAGTTAAAAGATATTTCATTTTGTATTCATTTCATATATACTAAATAACAACATATATATACAACATACATACATACATACATACATACAAACGAATGTCATGTCATGTCATCCAAAAGTTAATGTGCCTTCGATATCATACCACGAAATCGTTGGAACATGTACTACGTATATACATCCTTGAAATGATTGTCTAATAAACACTTTTTATAGGTCAATTTAAGTGATCAAAAGAAGATTTAAACCCATAATGGTTCCTCTTAATTATATCACTCCCTGATAATTTGAGTATAACAGCTTTGAACCAACTGCATTGTTGTAAACAAAGACTCAATTATATATATATATATATATATATATATATATATATATATATTATAGAGTAAATTTAGAAAAGCTTAACCTAGTTCCATTAAACTTCATGGCTACCAAACATATATCTGGAGATCATGCAAGTTAGCTCATGGGGAAGAAGAAGAACTTAGCCGATCGAGCATATATATATATATAAAGAATCACATTACATATAGTTGTGAATCTAAAACCCTAATTAGAGAATAACACAAGAAATATAATTTGAAACGAATCAAGATCTCCCTAGTCGAAGTTCCAAATCCAAATCCTTTCCATCTTTAAGCAAACCCATCTCCATTTTTGTGTTAAAGATCTCTCCTTTCTTCGAAACCCTAATTTCTTCTTGATCTCCATCTTCGGTGGTTACATTCTTTCTCAAATTTCCCAAAAAGTCACGTGCAGACGAAAATGGTTCTTGATTATCATGATCTTGTGGGTTAGTAGTGGAGAGAAGAGAGGAATGGTAGTAGGTCTTGTACGGTAGGTAATGAATAGGTGATGATGATGGGTAGAAATTAGGGTTAGGGTTAGGGTCAAGAGAAGGAGGTGATGAGAGTCTGAGTCTTGCTCTATCCCTCCTATGGACATTCATGTGACCACCAAGAGCTTGTGCAGATTTGTATTCTTTGTTGCAAAAGTTGCACATAAAGTTTCTTTGAGGCCATGGAACTACTCCTTGATAACCATACATTTCTTTCTCATCATAAATCATCAACTTGTTACTTTCCCATTTGCTTTTCAACTTGTGATCCATTCCACTCTTCACTTCACTAATTCCTACAAAACTTTTAAATATATATATAAGTTTAATTTTGTGTGTAGAGAGAGAGAGAGAGAGAGAGAGAGAGAGAGAGAGAGAAAAGAAGAAGAAGTAAAGAATGCAAGTAAGAAAATAAGGTCAAAGAGTGTAGAGGCTTTATAATGAAGCTAATAATTTGATTAAAGTATACAAAATATATATATACCTGGGATCATGTGAGACCAAAGGTTTTTTGTGAGACTCGTAAGACCAATTCTCAATCCTTGAATTAGATCTACAATCTGAACATTAATAATCACAAAATTGTTACGAGACTTCTCAATAATACACAAAATTGTCACCGTGCATCTTTAGACCATTAGATCATTAGCTTATAAAGTTGATCAATRAACATAAATTGGTCTTACGGGTCTCACGAAAAACATTTGATCTCACGTGAACCCAACCCCCTCTCTCTCTCTATATATATATATACTAGTTGTGTATACGTATTGGTATGATGTAGCACGAGTTGTAAGATTTTATTGTAAAACATTGATGGAAAATTAAAGAAACTTCTCATTAAAAAAATACGAAATTTATGTTTGAAAAAATAGAAACTACTGAACATGCTTTGCTAAAACCAGTAAAAGGGCCCACAAAAATATATCGATATGAATGTTAAATTAAAGATTTTTTGAAGAAAATGATAGAGTATTATGTCGTTTTACCATGGACAACTCAATGATTATCCTTCAACTTTATGAAGTTCAAAGAACTTTAAGAACTTACATTTTATAAAGTAATTACATGTACTCTTTAACTTTAAAAGATCTACATTAATCAATGGTAAATGTTGTTTTCATCAATCAGGGTTAAAATACCTTATTGTTAACTTTTGGTTCATTGTCCCAAAGGTGTTAAGTTATATATATATATATATATAGGGTTGGGTTTACGTGAGACCACTTTATTACACTCAAAACTTCACAGCAAAACGTTGTGAATTCACAGTGTTTTGGTGTAAAGTTTCAAGTGTAAAAAATGATTTCATGAAAACAGACTAATCTAAGGTGATCTCAAGTCTCTCTATATACATATTTCTTAGAGCAATTTGAAATCATGGGATATGAAAAAATAAGTCAGTCTTTGCAACAGGATTATTAAGAAAAAAAATGTAAATTATATGATTATATTATATATGTTTTTGGTTTTCAAAACTCACATATATTTTTATCATTTTTTAAATTGCACATTTAAACATCCCATCTTTCCCTTATAGCTAGCTAGCAACATGGACGGATCTATAAAAAAAATTCAAACAATGAAATTATTTGATTATAAGAAACAAATAAAGGGAAAAGATTTCAAACGGTGGCTCCGTTTGACTATAAGAAACAAACATAGGAAAAAAAATTCAAATACTGGCACTATTTGACTAAGAAAGTGACACTAACAAGATTCGAACTTGGGTCCGGGATGGAAGAAAAGTCTTGCAAACCAATTCTACTAAAGAAAACTTGTTCTTATTGTAGTTTCAAAATACATACAATGACACATAACAAATTAATAAGATTGCATCTTTCAAGAATCTAAATTTTACCTTTGACGGCCCATATATTGAAGCCACTTAAAGAAGACCTAATAATTAATATAGAGAGGAGGTTCAAAAGACCAACATTTACCAAATAAGAGAATATGAAGAAAAAAAAAATCCGTCAAATCATGTGTGATTTTACATTAATTGTCAACACAATGGTATGCAGGTATCGTGGTTGGCGACTTTTGCGTGAATCACATGTGATTTTACATTAACCATTTTTATATTCTTTTATTTGATTACTGTAAATTAATTGTACCATAAAACAGAAAAGGGAACAAAGAAGATGCCTCCATGTTCATTAATGTATGTAAATATACAGTGTACGTGCATGCAGATACCTCATGTTATTTCCCCATATATTTATAGGTAAAAAGTTGAGGGACAAAAATTAATTAAATGTCACATCATATATATATCACATGATTTACACCTTACCATAGATTTCAACATTTAATGACTCAACACATGATATATATATATATATATATATATGTATGTATACATATATGTATGTATATATATAATGTGCATATATCATGAAAACTAATTAACTAAGTATTTGTTCTTTTGATTCAAGATAACTCTTTTAATTAATTAACAAAATGGAATCTAAATATGGGAGCTTGGAAGGAAATCATCTACAACTTCAAGTAATTGTACTAATTAATGCTAAAATTAATTAATCATAACCTATAATCATGAGTCAGCACGTGGCAATAAGAAACTGAAACCAGAGTTATCACGAATAAGCGGTGGTGGCTCTATATCCGATATATTTATTTGATCCATTGATTTCGACAAATCATCCACAGTGAATGGTATACTGCATCACAACACACAATATTTATATATATGTTTCATTAATTTATATATCAAAATTTTGATTAATTAATTATTCTCTCACCTTGAATCATCATCCAGCAAGAAAGAGCTACTCACAGCATTATTTGAATCTTCAGTCATCAACACCCTCATTTTCGAAATTACCTGTCATTAAATTAATTATTAACATTAAATATATTCATACCCCACAACTTAATATATATATATATATATGAGTTTTACTTTTACAAAACAAACAAATACTAATTGCATACATCTGGAGAAAGGCTGTGTGTGCCATATTTGTCATCCCAATACATTGTACTGATTCTGTATAGTTGTTGTATGCTAAGAACCTGCAACGTTAATTTTCATTAATTAATTGACCTTTATTTCCCAATTTTTTGCTCTCTCTCTCTCTATATATATATATTTATTAATATATATATAAAGAGAGTCAAATTCATACGAGAACAATAATCAAATAAAAAAAAATAGAAAACAGTAAAACCACATGTGATTTACACTAAAATCACGTGTACAACCACGTGATTCATGCAATTTGGCCACGACCTGAGGCGCGCCACGTCGCTAGCACATCCTTACGTTGAACGTTAGTGTAAAATCACATGTCATTTTTGCATATGATTTGATCGTTTTCATGTTCTCTTATTTAGTTATTGTTCTCGTTTGAATCTCTTTCCCCTCTCTCTCTCTCTATATATATATGTCATATCACACTTACTGGGCTCAGATCATGGCTTATTTCATCCAGTGTCTTCTTTGGCTTTTGATGTATAACCTAATCAAAACCAACAAATTAGTCACAACTCTTGTAATACCAACAAAAGTTATTTAGCAGATATGCCTTAATTAATTAATTAATAATTAATCACAACCCCTTTGGGTTTTGTATAAATTATTAGTACCAGGAACCCAATAGCTTGTCTTATGTGCTTTAGCTCATCCCAAGCATTTCCTGCATACTGAAAATTTGGTTTCTCCAAACTCAGATAAACAACAACATGAAAAACAAAAACAAAAGCAAAAGCAAAAACAAAAACAAAAAACCTACCTCTTCAGTTGCTTTGTAGCACCATTGTTCCAATTCAGACAACCCTGCTTTAACATATTCTCCATTACTGAAAGAGCAGCATTCTCGTCTCAACAGAAGGCTGTGCAACCATGTACATATATGTTAATTAAGAGTTAAAAAAGCGAACAAGCTTTTGCGCTCGTGTAAGTATGAACGCTTCTACCTGTTGAATAATTGTACATTGATGAAAGAGAAAACTTGTGTGAAGATTTTGCGTACCAAAAATGGTGGCACCTACAAGATATGTGATGCAGAGATGAGTTTAAGTTTTTTGCATCGTATATAATTATCATCATAAGATAAGAACATGAATTCATGGGACGGGTTAGGTTCATGAGAAAACCACAAAAAAATGAAACACTAAGACAAGTAATTTGTAAGCAATTTGTCCGGTATGCACATTGCATAACATGAACACGTGCATAAAAACCAAGAAACAACTTCAATTACTTGTATGCACATGTGCATACTAAACAGTTACAGGTGTTCCTCAATTTTTCATTTTTTGGGGGCTATCCACTGAACCAACCTCCCTCTTATTGGACAGATCAACATGTGGATCAGAAATATGGGGTAAAAGAAACATGTGAGAAATAGTTAACTTACATGGTTAGATTTCAACATGTTTAAGAAACATCCAATGTTGTTGACAATCCCTTGCCAGTGAGCAATCAGAATATCCTGAGAAGCAGCACTCGCTAGTGCAACAGCCGTCCCCTTTAGCAAGTTTGCTCTCGATATTCTTGGTGCCTACAACATTAGCATATAAAATAATGATGATATAAGCTTCCAAAGGAATTCAAGAGAAAAAAACAACAACAATAATTTGATTAAATATGGAGGTTAGGTCAGGTTCGGGGGAAAACCGTAAAAAAATGAAAAACTACAAAACACCCCGGTAACGGTATGCACATGTGCATACTAGTAATTTGTAAGCAATTTGCCTGGTATGCACATGTGCATAACATGCACGCATGCATAAAAACCAAAAAACAACTTCAATTACTTGTATGCATGTGCACATCGTCCATATGAATGGTTACCAAGGTGTTCCTCAGTTTTTCATTTTTTGGGGGTTTTCTTCTGAACCTCCCTCTATGGAGGTTATATTAGAAGTAATTAACTACCTGAATGCACAATCCAAGCAATGGGGAAATCTCTTTCTTTAAGTTGTCTCGTATCATCCCATATATTTTTTCAACATATGCCGTCAATTGCTGCTTGAAAAGCAAAGCAGGGTATTTGGCTTCAACTTGCTGTAATGTATCGGAAGCATTATCTGTCTCGCCGTCTATTAAAGAGATGTTTACACCTTGCGGAGTTCCACGAAAGCTCTACGAAATAAATTTTACCCATCAAATGCTACTACATGATAGCACCCAATGATATATATTTTGTTCACCTCAAGTTTCTCCCCCTCCCCTTTCCTCTGTTTGCTATTTCTTTTTCCGTTTCACACAATTTGTACGTATTTCCCAAAGTTGGAACTTGGCTTAATATGTGAGAAACCTTGTCTCGCATGAGAGTCTCATAGAATTTACACCCACTCAGTAAGTACCAACCTTTGAGCCTTAAATGAATCATTTAAGAGTTTGGGCCTTGGTGTGTGGGTGTTCATGGTGGGCTTTCGAGACACACACACACACACACACACACATATATATATATATATATATATATTTACGGTCAAAAGATGGGCCTTGGGCCTTGGGACTCTCTGTTCGCGCCTGACAGTTAAGGAAGCATAGGTATGTATATAAGGCATTTTCTGGGTTTTCTTGCATATTTTTCTCTCAAAATTCCCTCACCAAACATCTTTAATTCACTAGAATCAAGTACGAAACTTGAATTCGATTGTTGTATCCTCTAGACAAAGCCTACACTACCGGTGAATTCAACTGTTCCGTTTTTCAGAAGAATCAGCAAATTACAAGCAAGATTTATGGATTCTATCAATTGTTATTGTTGATTTTATGTTTATTTCATAGATTTGTATAAGATTTTCAAAGTTTCTCTAAATTTATTTTCGTTATACATCTTTCTACTTAAGATTGATTACTCCTAACACCCAAACATACACTTTGTTTACCTGAGTCATCCTTCCAAACAGCGTAGCTGATGTTGTTCGTCGGTGCTGTGGGGCCCCAGCAGCGCCACTAGCTTTCAGTGTACGCTGCAACAGCAGCAGCAGTGTTGATGCGTTGGATAACCAATAGGCTAAGACATCGTTGTTATCTTGTGTCTTCATTCATAAGCGAGCTTAATGTTAGGAATATATAATAGTGAGATGTAGCTGTACCACATGATAATAGATCCTTGTGATTCGTATACCTCAATTGCTTGGCCTATGGTTTGAATTATACGATCAAAAATGCTTGTTTTTTCTACTTCAAATGACCGCCACTGCCTCAGACATTTGTAAATGATGCAAGCAGCAACGGGACGGCCTTTCGAGAATCCTAGGTGTTGTGCAATACATCGAATGAGCAAATCCTGATATTCCTGCTGTTTCTCGTTGAGTGACTTCTGTGGTCTCTCCTCCACGTCAGCATCCCTTGATTGCATTGTCGGACTATGAACTTCCTAACATATTTTTAAAAGAAAGACAAAAAGAACGAGTTAAATACATTTAAAATGCTATATATAGGGTCAGCTTCAGGGGAAAACCACAAAAAATAAAAAACTAAGGAACACCTGGTAACCATTAATCTAGACGGTATGCACATGTGTATACAAATAATTTATAAAAAAAACGTCCGGTATGCACATATGCATAACATACAGACATGCATAGAAACCAAGAAACAACTTCAATTACTTATATGCACGTGTGTACATCGTACAGATGAACGGTTACTAGGGTGTTCCTCAGTTTTTCATTTTTTAGGGATTTTCCCCCGAACCTCCCTATATATATATATATATATATATGTATATATATATATATATATATATGTTAAATTATATATAAACCACAATCTAATTTTGAAATTTTTTGACTTACCACAGAAGGAGCTTTAATACTTTCAGTCCTCTGTCATTGTTCAAGGGAGAAAAAGAAAGAATGAGTGAGACATGTAAGTATTAAAATTTAGCTCTAAGACCAAAACTGGAGAAACTTTCAAGTACCCTAATTGATTTCGACCGTGCTGCCTGTAGCTTGGTATTTTGTGCCATTGTTAAAGCCTGTTGACGGAGAACCTTATTTTCTGACTCTATATTGGCGAGCTTCTCCTCAAGCCTAGCAAAGACAAGTATAAGAGAGAGCATAATGTCACTATCTAAGAGAACAAGGATACTATATGAGACAATACTCAGTAGCCAGCTAAGAACAAGTGTTATAATAACATTGTAGTTGTAATATCTCTGGAACTGAAACATATAAGAAACTTAACCAGAGAGATTTCCAGGGATCAATGGGTTCAATATATATATATATATATATATATATATATATATATATATTAAACATACTGCATTCCCCTTCCAAATTGTCATAATTAGTGAGCCAAATTTGCACAGTAATTTCCTTCTATTTTTGACATGTGGATTAGATGGCAGATAATTCTATTACTGTAATGTGTAGGCTTATCGGACAAATCATCGACTAACTAGCATGTTTTGCCCATTGGTTCTAAAAAAATGAATTAATCATGTCCTATGGACAAATGCCCTCATATAAAACCAGACTGACTACAGGGTTAGATTCCGGTGAGAATGGAAGTTATAGTGAGAAGGGTACAAAAGGATTTCCATCCTTGGATCAATCCTAATTGAAGATCAACCCTAATGAGATGCACCGGATCAATTTCCATGAGAAGCGAAACTCATGGAGTGGGGGTGAGATTAAAAGTGATCAAAGATTCAGATCCCTTCTTACGCTTCTCACCTTTACGCCTATTCTCACACCATCCTTTGTCATTGACTACAAGCAACATTATATGCTTGAGCATTCTAGATTCTGGAAGAAAATGCAGAAACATCAACCAAGAATCGCCTACAATTATAAGACCATACTTTGACCAGCATATTTATGTTAATGTGATAAGATCTTTAGATTAAGTGTCAATCATGCTATTGATCCCCAATGTACGATCAACTTAAAACATCTTTAAATAGACCATATAGAACCGATAGAGTCATAAAGTCCATAGGTAACATGAATAGAGGTGGAGCCCATGTATTTGACAGACACTTCATATGGAAAGCAGGGGTGGGAATGCCCATCAGTTACACCATAAGATAAGCACTCATTATAGCATGCATGTCACATTTAGGTCATGTTTGTTAGCAGCTTAATGGGATTCACAGCTTATTCGGTCAGCTATACATCACTGCTGGTAGTGACTTAATGATACAGAAAATGACTTTATTCAGTAAGCTACTAGAGGGGAGCTTTATGCTGAAAGCCAAGTTTTTTCTGAACCTGCCTCTTCCAATTAAAAAATAAGCTCCTTCCATCTATGAAAAAACCTTCCCAAACAAAAATCTTGCTAATCTATTCACAGAAAGTAATCCACACAGACAACTTTATACATACAGGGCATAATGGAAAACCAACCAAGCAGCCCCTTAGTGCTGGAGAAGTCTCAAGAAATTACCAGAAGTCCAAAAGTAACATAAATGGAGGAGAACATACAGCTAATAGTAACTTTATCTTGCTTATATCCTGAAAAGCTGGTGTTTGACTTTTGATATATCTCATATTTTGTTCTTGTTGGACTATTCACTCAAATTAGAACAGACCTAAAGTTCTTGATTCACTTTAAGAAAAGTTTATTTTAAGTGTCAAGGCTACCCATCGATATTCTTACTATAATGTAACAATACCTATTCAAAGATTCCTGAAGATGATTTGCCCTGTTTACAGTTTCTTCCAACTTCTCCTGCTTAGTTTGAATTGATTCAAGGTATTCAGCGCACTTCCGTTCAGATTCATCAGCTCGTTTTTTCTCTGATTCTAGCAAACTCTGCATGCCAACAATTATGTAAGGTGGGGGTTATTAATAGATTGAGAGGTGAGTGGGGAATTAAGAGAGAATGAGGAGAGGAAAAAAATCAACTCTGATATGGTTGCATTCAAGGTCTAAAGAAGCAGCAAGAAAGAAAACAATTTCCTCTGAAGAATCCATCACCAAATACTTCACCTTGCAGGCGAGATAACGATGTTTACAACCATTTTCTTTTCTGCTTAGACTTTCTACCTTATCCTCATTTACAGTAACATCATCGTTAATTTGGTGAAATCAAATCCTCACCTTTCTAATCATCGTCTTTCGTAAATCAGGTGATGAAATTTGTTCATTTTCATTCCCATTTTCATTGTTTGGTTCAGGTAGGGGAATAAAAATAAAAATGACAATGACAGGATATGAAAATCGGTTTATCGTCGAATGAAAACTTGGGCTTCAGGGGGGAATGAGCCCATTATATTATATAAAACCAAATTGTTTCTTTTGTTTTCATTCCCATTAATTACTGCTTAATACCTCTAACCATACACCCCTAAGTTTTTATTTCTGATTTTGGTATGCCCTTAATAATTGAATTTACATTTTTGCATGTCCATAGATTGATAATATAGCACAGTTATCCAATCATAGCAGAAATGATGTGAACTTAAATTCACCACTAAACACCCATTCAATCAGCCATCAGACCAAAGAGAGCTAGCCTGTTTCAACCCCAGTATTTGGTCATACCAAAGTCAAATGACCATGTTATAGCGCTTCCCTTTTTTTTCCTTTAGACATCAAAAGGTTACCACTGCCACAGAAGATGATGCTAAGCAGCAGAAGTTATCAAACCAAGATAACGTCAAAGTCATTGTAGCCTATATGTGTCGCTGTAACACCTACACAGAAACAGATTTGAAAGGGAAGGGAGATAACTTCTAGGAAACCAACATTACCTTCAAGCTTTCCACCTCTGCACTTAATTTGTCAATCTTTTCTGTGTCTTCTACATGAATTGGGGCGGTTTCTTGGACAATAGCCGATGCTTCTTCAATTGCTTTCTGTGCAGACTCGCGTTCCTTGGTAAGTAATGCATTTGTTTCATCAAGTTTAACCTGCATGGCTTGCAGGGAGTTCTGCAGTTTCAGAATTTCCTGTCCTTTTGCTTCTTCCAAATCAGTCTGCACGATGTGGATCATCATTCTTTTCTCATGTTTGATAGAACAATGATAAATACAGTCCAAGTTAATGGTAACAGGTATTATGTGACAAATTAGCTGTTTGAAATAACAACAAAAATTCTTGTGTGACGCAGTCCATGGGATGGTGAAGTTCATATCAAGTGAAGCATTAGGGATGCAAGAAAGATTTAAGAATACCAATTCTGTCACAAAGAATGAAATACATGTGAAGACCTGAAGGTTTTGTAAGATTATAAACCCAAGCCATGCTCTGATACATGATATATTAAGGATATCTGAAAGCACATGAACCCCACAAGGGTAAGTCAAATGTGATGAGCAAGATGTGGTGCAAGATTCACTGTACAAAGCAAGATTGCATGCACTTTTGAGGGTTGAACTTGTTGAGGATTAAGATTCAATTCATCCTGCAAGCATTAAGCTGCTTTTATCAAACACCAATTCTCGGGTACTTCATATCCTTTCATGCACTTATGGTTTAGGTGTGATGCCTTGCAGACACTTGCATCTTTAGCAGGATTATGAGCTGTGCTTTTTTTGGTAACTAGCTTATTGAGAGGAATTATCCAACAAACTGTGAAGCTTTGGATGTGTAATCAGACTTGATAGTTCAAAGAGGATATGTTTCTCTCACTGGGAATACCTTTTAAGTATAACTCTCTTCTCCCTTGGTTTGGTAATCACTAGTATGCCTTCACCATATCATGCAAATTTTAGTACATACAGATTCTTTACAGCGTCCACATGACCCCACTTTTCTCTCCAAGTGTTTGATCGAACACATAAAGATGTTCTCATATTGAACACGATCACCGAATTGAGAACATAAATATTTAATCACTCAAACTAATTTAATGCCAGATACTACAAAGAGAAACCCTAGAAACTTATTCAATTCTCCCCTCCCCTATATGTTTATAATGTGATGATCTTGTTAAGGAAACTTTACCTATATATTTCTAGCCATATATGAGAAGATGAAGCATATTGCACGTATCTAGAATAGAAGAAAGATCCAATTATCTTTGCATCAGACTAAGATTACCTTCAACCGTTTTTCTAACTGTAAACGCCAAGTGAGATCTTCCACTTGCTTTTGAAGCTTATCCTTTGCTTCTTGGAGTGCACCCGTTTCCCTTGCAGCCTGTATATGTTAAAAATTAGCAACTAATAACATGAAGATTAATGCAGGGGAACTTATGGAATAACTGGACTGGGTATAAATAAAGAGGAACTAGGTTTTCCAAAGCATCACACATAGAAAACCTAAATCTTGCATCACATTAAGCAAAAACGAATGAAACCTAAGGGTTGATCGGTCACTAAATCAAAGAGAAAAGGCATGAACAATCTCAACGCATTTGATAGGTAGATTATAGCATTCAATCGTGTTAACTGTTGGGATTACACCCCTGTTTATAGTTCTGTTGGGAGATCAAGAAAATTAGAGAAAGAGTGCAGTGGCTAAAGTAAACAATAAGAATAACTTAACAGTCCAAAATGTCTGGTATTTGACAAAAAATATGATTACATAATTTCCTATCTGATTCAACATTGTGCAACTTCTCAGTAAGTGCACATGTCAATATGAAAAAGTACACTAACTGGGGACATAACAAGGCAGCCTCTTCACAGTGACATTTAAGTAAAAATTTACATTTAAAACCAAACAAACCGAAGTGACCCAGTAAATCCCACTCGAAAGTAGGATATGGGGGTGAGATGTATGCGACCCTCTAGCTCAAAGAGCAGAGGGGTTGTTTCTATGCAAAATGACGCCTATACTTAAAGAAATTCTTAGTAACAAATCCATGCAAAAAACCTCATTTTCCTATCCTGTTCAATTCTCTTTATTTAGGTTTTTCACCTAGAAAATGGAGTCTTAGTTTCATGCTAACCAAACAAAGCATAAGAAAAGCCCAATTAATGTCCAGGAAAGTAAAATCTGAAAATATGAGCTACCATTTAAATGCATAAGAGAAACCAACCATCTTTAGTTTCCGGAGCTCTTTCCTAGCAACTCTTCCCCTCCATCGGGTTTGTGTAACAATTGCTGCCCTCATCAGTCTCTTATAGTATTTAAAGTCTCTATGACGATGCCAGTTGGCCTGCAAGCATCGACTCGTTAGAGTAGAAGGAAAAGGTTTGGATTTATATACAACATGTAAAACCAGGTACTGACTTGAACAAGAAGTGCTGCCTTAGTTGTCTTTCTGTGTCTGAATGCATTATGAGCAGCCATCGCTCGCAAACCTGTCTGGAGGACGGTGACTGAGAACTTGAGTCTGTTGTAAGACATCCAAAATAAGTGTCGCCGGTAGTTTTTCTGTATTTTAAGTGAAGCAGCCTTCCTTTTCATGTATTCAAATAATTTCATAGCAAGATTTCCTGGTACAAACAAACCAAAGAGAGGGTGAGTGAAATCATTTACAAGGTAAATGAAAAAAAGGTTTGCAGCCAATTTGATGGCCAGAATGCAAAAACTGGTAATGCATGCAGAAAAAAGAAATTGTGTTTGTAGATGTTTAAATGATATAATCCAAAAACATGGAAAGAAACATTTCAGGTGACGTAGTTATCTGGAAAAACAAACCTCGGCATAGAGATTGCAATGAAATAGACGCTTTCCTCAAAGCAAGGAAACGGTTCCTGGCGATATGAGTTCTTATCTTTCTTTGAATTTTCTTGGCTGCATTGTTAAGTTTTTGCGCTCTCCGTCCATCTAATTCAGCCATCTGACCGGCCCTAAGGAAAACTTTCGTTTTGCCTATCTGCCAAACCATTTATGCACCTTTTTAGTGCATGGAAATGTGAAATATTGCCTAGTGGAAACTAAAAGTCGATGAAGAAAGAAAGCTTGCATGAAACCTTTCGTGTTAGTAGGCCTTTTTTAGTTTTCAATAGGGGCTGCAAACAGGTGAATGTCACCATGTTGCACAAAGGAGACATAGAAAAATAGCATAACTTTATGAAAGAAATAATTTCATATTATGTCTCATCGTATAGAAGATTAAGTCATGAGGCAAATACCAGGCCTTGTTTTCCCCTGATCCAAAAGACCATTCCATTTTCCTTTTGATCTGTTAGAAAATAAAAGGAGGCCCAAGGGATAGTATCTAGTAAGGTGAAATTCAGGGAAGGAAGATTATAAACAGCATGGACATTGAGGAGAAATCTACCCAGCCCATATACAAAGAGATTTCCTACCACACCTGCATGGGTCAGGTTTTCATACCTCCCTCTTCCCTTTTCGGATATACTATTGAATTTTTGTGATAGAAGACTATTGCTGGTGGAAACAACATGGGCACGCGACTTGCAACTCACTTTGCAAGTCGCTGCTACAGAGAAGGATACTACGGTACATTGATTTCCATGTCACCTATGAAGTCGCCTGGGAGATATACCACTTGGCAGTCGCATGTGTTGTCGACTTGTCGCTTAGTTTGGATGGCAACTCTCGGTATATAAAAATCGATTTTGTATGCAACTTGGTGAAGTCGCATACAATATGATTGGAGTTCCCTCACACAACTGGAGCAAAGAAAATGTGCCAGATGGAGAAATAGATAAGATCAAGGATGATGGTGCATGATCTTCATAAGCATAGCTGACCATCAAGCTCAGAATTGTCATCAAGAACAACAATGTGAAGTGGAAATGCAATAGATAGCAAGATTCATGACCATAATTCTGAAAGATAAGCTCCCTTCAGAAGCAGATAAAACTTATGTTACCTGACACCCCTGAAGGCCCATCTTCTCAAGAATTTTTTTACATGCATCCTTTGCATCAAGACTGTTAATATAAGCAACAAACTCATTGTAAGAACATATACGTGATCTAATCAGTTATATTCTAATTAGATATCACAATAAATTCTACTTACTTCCCTCCCAAAACCTCTGGAGCTAGAAGACTGAATCGGTTGAGGAAATCAAAGAAACTCTTGCGAGTTGGGTATCCAGCACAGCTTATACGAATTGCCTCTAGAACCCCCTTCATGATGAGTAAAAAGCACTCTATATAAGATTAAGAATTATTAAAATACGACAAAATATTGTTATTTCAATTACACTCACCCCACAACGTAATTGTTGCATGATGTTGGCATTCTCAAAGATAGAAGGTTTAAGAAGATTATTTGGCTTCACGCATCTAATATAGTGGGGTTCTGTGGAATTCAGAGTTTCCATTAATGATTGAAGTTGAAGCTGCATGAATTAAGAAAAATATCAGATGCATTCTTACTGTATAGATCTCCAAGTCACTGCCAACAAATATATTTTCCTATTCTGTTCTTGTGTTCTTTCTGGAGAGAGGAAAAGTACACATTCCAAGCTTTACGAGTATTCTCCATGTCACTAATTCTCTCTGCAAGCTAAGCTTGCCGTAGGATATTTATAGAGAAAACTTACCTTGAAGCGAGAACCAATTGATGAGAACTTAGCAGATTTGCTTGAAGATTTGTTCGTTTCTTCAGGGATTGGAGGGAAAAGTGATGCTACAAAAGAGCATTTGGAAGCCATCAACAAATCTTGATGTTCAGGAACAACATAATCTTTGTTTTTGTCTAGAAATAGTTCGGATTGATATTGAACCTGAATATAAATATAAAGCAAATACTTCAGATCTGGACAACGTTAGCAGCTCCGAACATGGTAGATATAAAAATTCAAATTACCTCTCCAGCATAATGAGAAATGATGAAATCGCTGCGAGATAATTTGGGTTTGATAAATCGTTGGTGCTTACTGAATGTCTGATAAAGCTTCTGTGCAAATGTTTCATGAGTTGACTTGGGAAACATACTGGAAAACAATAAGTCGCCATAAGCTAACAAAAAGCTGATTCAGCATCGCAGACAGAGATATTATAAAATATTCTGTTCCTAGACCACACTTGCAAGTAAATGCATAAGAAATGGAATTAATAAAAACATGTGTGTGAACTCTAAAAGACTGCGTACCAGGCTTCATCAAGCAGAGCAATAATTCCACCAGGTTTCTGCAAATGTGGTACAACCATTGAAGCATGATTTCTAAAGTTATCATTTAGTTTGCAGGTTGTACAATATGTTAAATATATATACATGTAGCAATGATCACATAGAAACTATTCCTTATAGAGAAGAAATTGGGAGCTTGCAAAAAGATAAACTAAGTAGCAGATCAATGAATCTCATTTGTGGTAGTACAAGTAACTTTATATATACATACCTACATATGTACGTTCAAATATACATACATGCATTTATATATATATATATATATATATTACCAAGGAGTAACTGAAAGGACAGCATGTAAAGTGACTGTGTACCAGCATTTTCAACTGAAGTTAGATCTTTCAAGAAAGATAACACCTCCCAACAACATTGTCAAAAGAAATTAAAACATCTAGATGGATATTTCGTTTATCTGTTCTCCTGTCTTTTCTAGCATAGGGGAGATAAACAATCATTTAAATGAAGGGACCCACCTTTTTTTTTTGGTAAGGGTGTCCGGGCCAAAGCCCGACTAATCCCCGGCAAATTTGGAGGCTAAACATGGCCCCACTTAAATGTCGCCAACACTCCCCTCCTAGGGCTCGAACTCGGGTTCATGACTATGTCATGCCCAAGCCTTTACCACTAGGCTGGAAGGTCTTTGACGAAGGGACCCACTTTGTTGGACCACTGTCTAGCTTTCAGTGAAAAAAAGATGGCATCCATGGCTCAGACTATGTACATGATCATATAAATTCTCTAGAAACATAGAATGTGTATTCGACATTAACATAGCGAACAATTTTTCTGTTTCATGACAAGTTAACTAAGGCCAAAGTGGCCAACTTTCAAATCATGATAATCCTCTCATGGAACCACTATGAAGCAATAACTTGCAGCCAAATAGATATCTTATGAAGCTTTTTTGCCTAACGACTCTACTATTAGATGCTTAGCAAGAAACTTAACCATACAAATAATGAGTTGAGAACTTCAGATTTTGAATTTGTATGAACCTTTTCAATAAGATCTAGAACATCTTTATTATCCACAAATTCTATGTAGCTCCAGTCAATTTGCTCTTTGGTGTACTCCTCTTGCTCCATCTTAAACACATGCTGTATGAAATAAAAAAGAACGTTAAATGTCAGTGATAGGTTCAGATAAACAATATTGGTCATTTATGTCAACACCTGAAGTCACACCTGATTGAAATGTTGTTGCAGCTTCTCGTTAGTGAAATTAATACAAAATTGTTCAAAACTGCACAAGACAACCCTTGTTGATCATTGCAATCAACTCATGGAAGAAGCACTAAAAATAATGATTATTCCATCACATCAGATTTTACCTATTTTGCTTAAAGCTCTCAAAACCATATATGTCAAGAACACCAATCAGGGATTTTGAATTTGGATCTTGGCCAATAGACATATTAATTTTATCAACTAACCTGCAGATTGAATAATCATGCCCCTTTAGAACCATTGTAGTAATTCAAGGTATTTTAACAAATACTTACAGAATAACATACTATGCAAATGTGAAATGCAAATGCAAGGTAAACCCGACTCCTGAGAAAGGTTTGAAGTACCAGTCAAATAAACGGGTATATAATGTCTTAGCCAAACCATCCCTGCTAACAGTTGCTGCCTCAGGAGGCAAACTTCTTTTAATAACTTCTTCTGGGGTAACCATCACACGTTTTAATAATGCATCCTCAAGCGCAGCACGATCACACCTGTAAATTATATAACAGCAATTCAGAAAGGATAAAGACCTATATACACTCATATGTATATACATATATATATATAGACACACCTACATGTATTCATGAAAACAGTAAGAAAGCAATATATAAGTTCTAAACGCACATGAGTAGCTCTGCTGTCATCTTTAGATGAAATTTCGATTTGTCATCTTTCAGGAGTGATGAATCAACCTCTTTTCCTTTGGAAAATGTAACATTACCAAGATGGAGAATTCCAGCCACAAGTCTGAAAATTGCTTCCTGGAAGATAGGAGAACATATTACTGCAGTTTCATTAAAATTACATCAAATAACAAAACAATATAATATTAAGATCCTGTAACCTGATCCTTGTCACTTATTCCAACAACATCCATGGCTCTCCTGGTGGCAAGATAATCATGAGCGTCGCTTATACCAACGAGTTGGTAGCAATTTGATTGATTGAGATAGTGAAACGTTTTAGGATCTCCCAATTTATATTTCTCAACTTCCTGAAATTTTTTGAAAAGAGTCCGTTATATAAGCAGCTACAGTCTTGGTTAAAAAAAGCATATACGGCCCCCTCTGGAGCACCCCCACGGCCATCATGTGGATGTAAATTGCATATGCATCCCAATTCCCATGGGCAGAAGGATGGTGCCCAGGATCGAACCCGAGAACTCATTTTTGCTTACACCCACTCCTATCGCTGGGACAGATCAGCAAGGACTAGAGTGTTAGTTCTGAAAGGTGCATCTTGTAATCTACCTCAGGAGGTGCTGCACATAGAAGATAGAAACAATGATAGTTGCGTTCAGGATCTGAAATCTGGCAGACACGAGATCTTTCAAGAAGGTAAGTTCGGATGGCTGCTCCAGATATTCTTCCATGTTTATCAAACTGAATTTCAACAAATTTTCCAAAGCGGCTGCAGCAAGATGAATCAAAGCCATCAGAAAGTTCACACTGAATGCAGTTAAACAAGTTCGCTTTAGTTTGTATTTTTAGAAGTTACTGCACCTTGAATTATTATTTCTAATAGTTTTTGCATTTCCAAATGCTTCCAGAACTGGATTCGACTGCATTTAGAACATTTAAACAAGAGAGTTGGATAAGTTACTAGTTACCATCAGAAAACAAGAAGCCAGCAAGCATAAAATCATTTAAACTGTTTTGGTGGAACAAATACTAGAAGGTTCATCCTACTCCTTAAACATGAGAGTGCATGAAGAGTGTCATAACTTTGCAGCTCCTTGAGGAACCTAAATGAGAAGAAGCTTGGAAGACAGGGTTAGGTGTTTGAAAGCTTCCTAAGCAACCAGAACTTCCTCACATAACAATGATATGATTGATAATTCCCACAAAAACAAAATTAGATATRTCAATGCTGGTAGGATGACAATTAGGTGATGATTATTGGCTTGTTCTCATGATCGATGCAGTGAAACCAACTCATATTCAAATGAACAAATAACTAGATATAGAGTGAAGGCCAATGAAACCAACAAAGAGTGTACAATTAGAAATGAAAAAGTTCACCTGACAGGCTGACACTAGTCCAGATATATAATGCAAAAGTTTGAAGAAAGCTGTACTTTTAACCAACCCCGTTTGATACGTCCACCATCCGTCTTAATAATTACTACTTAGTGCATATCATAGCACTTAAGTTTACAGAATTAGACATGACAGTCACGTATACCTATCTCTTTGTTTGCTTCGAGAGTAGCTCTTTCTAGCCTATAGAACATATAGGACTGAGATCAGTTAGGCCACTCTCGTTCTCCCAACAGTTGGTCCTTGTGCAGCCTATGGTGTTAATGGAGGGATTAGAATGCTAGGACAGCCATCAACAAACTCTATAGTGTCTTTTGGGGATTCATTGTAAGCACCTTTCAAGATATTTGGGAAGGTCTACCACCCAGATTGATTGGGGAGCTGTCATCCAAAATCACCATTGTTTTGAGTTGTCTTCTACAGGTTGATTGTTTTCCTAAACATGTGTTTTCTTACATATCTTTCACTTCCTTATTAGGTGCATTTCTTGTCCTACATTTTATTCTTTTAACAGAGAGAGAATGCTGAAGCTGGAGTAACAGGAGTCACAAAGACTAACCTCTAAGAATTAGTTAATCTAGAACATAAATATTTTCGGTGGAACATTGAGAAATATAGGAGACTTTTGTCATCTTACTTCTAGAACTTGTTGTTCAACTGTCCGTCCTTCGGTGCTTTTGCGACCGCCCAAATAGGCAAGATAGCGCATAAGCATTTTAGTAGTCTCGGTCTTACCAGCTCCACTTTCACCGCTGACCAAGATCGAATTGCTTTTTCCTTCATTAACCATTGCCCTGATTCATCTCAAGTAAAAATGTTTACATAATCATTAACATGTTAAGTTTCACAATGCAAAAAGAATAGAAAATTACCTGAAAGCAACGTCTGCAATAGCAAAAACATGAGGACTTAGTTCCCCAAATGGTGCTCCTTTGTATTGTTCCATCATATGAGTTTCATACAAGTGAGGCAATCTTTGAAATGGGTTAATGGCAATGAGGATATTGCCGGTATAAGTCTGCCATGATATCAGAATATGATATAATATTATCATAGCCCATAGCCACATTAGTTCATCATTTCCCTCCCGAAAGTCAACAATAATGAATAGATAATGAAATAGACTTAGAGATCTTCTTACATAGATTTCATTGAGTTGAAATCTGGTGGATAAATTTTGCAGAACTCCAGGCTCATGCAAATAAGAAAGCTTCGTCATGTCATCAACTCCACCAGCAGGAGCATCCACATCTTTAGGATATATTTTTGATAAGTTCGCGGTGACCTGCAAATTGTTGAGGGGGAAGTTTCCAAAGTGAAGGAACTATGAAGCTATAAACTAGAAAAAAGTTTTTTACTTTTGACTTCGACTTCGATTTAGACTTGCACTTCCATTCAGTGACAGGAACACTGAAAGCCATTATTTAATGTATATGCTTGTAACTGAGGTTTACATACTTGAAACTGCTTAAAAGCTACATTTCCTCTTTTACTCTTAAAGAGTCCAAGAACTACTCTTCTTTAAGGTTTATGTTTTGGTTAGTATCTCTAGGGTCAAGGTTTCCAAGCCTTTGTTTTACCTTTAATCTTGCTTAAGCCTTATGTCTTTTTTTTCCAATGGAACAGTGAATTCAAAAGGTAAAAACCAAACTGATGCTCAGTTAATGGAGTATAAGATCAACTTACTTTCTTCCCATCAGTTGTTTCAACCTCAACTTCCTTTCCATTTATTTTCGTAACTTGTCCATCAATCCAACATATTGCTGGATCTTCCACCCACACATGAGTGCCTAGGATGATATTAACTGTAGTAGCAGCCTGCATATCAATTCAACCATCAGAGGTCAGATGTTTAGGGGAGCATATACAAACCTGTAGCTCTCATAGGAAATATAAAGCATTTAATCATTGTATGCAGATCGAATCATGCCATGCAAGTAAAAGCACATTTCAAAACACAAAATACTCTTCAAATTGCAACATATTACAAGCTATAATGTATCAGGATCACCATTAATTACCATAACGTGGAAGTTATCTTGGGAGAATCACATATCCACTAAAAATGAAATAACTTAGGTTTGTTGCTTGATGTTCCAATATGATGTAAATAGCATGGGTGTCAGTTATGTTATATGCTAAGCAAAAGCGTCTGTTATGCTTCAAAAATGTAACCTTTCAGGTCAAGATATTCGATGTGTAAAAGACAATCAAACCAAATGAGCCCAATATATTCCACTAGGAGATGCAGTTTAGGGGTGGGATATATGCAAACTGTCCTCTGCGCCAGAGGGTAGAGTGGTTGTTTCTGTGAGGACTCCCGCCTTGCAAAAAGTGTGCGAAAAAAGAAAGTTCACCCAAAAAGTCGTAAAATTTTGAAAAAGGAGAAGTGGAAAAATAAAAGATCAAGGCGAGAGACGAGAATTGAAAAGAAGACCAAGGCTAGAAAAAAGTAAGCAGCACCTTGCAATGAAAAGTAGGTACAAAGGAACATAGCAAAGGTAAGACAACAACACATCCCCTAGTCCATCTTAGGACTATGGTAGCCTATCCCCTGGTGCTCACTACCCTAACCCCCCCCCCAACCCTCTACCTCTCGAGCTCCCTTCCTCCCGACTAGACTAGCTACAGGTCTCCACCCTTTTCTGCTACCCTAATCTTGCATCTCCAAGAACATCAAATATTCTATGTGTTTGTTCATCATTTTATTTTATGTTTTATCCACGACCCCAGAAATGGTGTAGCACATGATGTCTGACTTTGTAATGAATGGGTCATGATCCATAACGTGTAAAGGCCCAACTGAACAAATGTTAAATTTGAGTAGGCAGTCATGATTAACTTCAACTCCGCTGTAGAGTGAATTCCGACCTCTTTAGGATGATAATTATTCTGCCTTGTGGATATTTTATTTTTAAAAAACCATACTTCTTTGTGCAGCCATGATTGGTTCTTTTGCTGGATGATCATTCTCTCTTCATTTCTAAATGAATTCACTTGTTATGCTTGCAATGTCACCTCTACTCTTATAGTTATGTGTCAAGAAAATATGCATCTCGCTCTTGTTCCAAAAGTTTATACACATGAGGACATAGATCATGAACAATTTTAGTTAGATATTTCTACCCTTGACTCATATGACATTTATCCATATATAAATTTTAACATCCTCCCTGGTCCTTCTATATAAATTTGGAAACTGAAATTAGGATCAAATGTCTGTTTAACAACTTAACTCTGTTTTATCTCAGAATATTTTAATTTCAAGTTTGCACAACCAAATCGTTGGGGCTTTAGCATATATACAATAGATCCCTCACTTTGTCTAATATCAATAAAAAACAATTGTATCTGTACGATGCAGCGATATGTAAAACTTTATCTCAAACGGAGGATGGAACTCCTAATTAGAAAGAGAAAATCCGAAATTTAAATTTGAACATAAATGGCTAAATGTGCTAAATTGTTTTGATTTTGGATTTTATTGTTATTATTTTCAAAGACGAGCCTCTCGAGAGAAAATCCACCATGTGAAAATTTATTACAATCACACTAACTAATCTCTCAAGCCATCCCCCAACTACACCCACACTCTCCAAAGATTTAACTCGCTTTTCTACACTTCACAACAAGAGAACAAGAAAGAAAACAATCAAATACTTAACGTGCATTTAATTGGGGACTTAAAACCAGAGTTTTTGACTCCTTTTATAGGCATGGAGCTCACTGCACCTTTTTGCTCCACCTATGTGAGACATGTTTTCAGCCACAATTCTCAACATACCATAACTCTTAATGTACTAGTGATTTGTACTTGATGCTTTATAGATGTTGACTATTGAAATTTAAGAGTTTTACTCAAAAATGCTTTATAAGATGGTATTTATAATAATTGCCAAGAATAAAACTAACGGAAGTTGGTCACCAACATTAACATGGAAACCCTCTAAAATAATTAGAGGAAAAGCAGGAGAAAATCGAATATGCTTTCCACTATAAAAGAGTCTACACAATTTCCATGTTTCTACCAAACACTTGTAACACGCTTTGGAGAGAAGACAATCTCTACTTCTTTTAGGGTTGAGCACCTCATTCCAAAATCACAATTGACCTTTGGTGGCACTAATGACTTCCACTAGACTTACCATTGGAACACCATCAAACACTCTCTACTGCTCTACATCTAGTGTTTGACACCACTTCCAGTTGCACATTTTACAATTGAGCAACTCTCATGGATGACAATTCCCTCAAATAATTGGATCTTTTATGCTTTGGTGTATATTTGTGTTTCAATGTGTTTCATATTGGGAGACCCCATCTCCTTTGATATGGGGTTGCTTACTCGCTTTGCTTGGTTGAGTAAAGAAGTTGACAACTTGCTTACTCACAAGCCAAGAAACCAATTTGCACCGCCAGTAACTGCAGCTGAACTTACCCAATTGTAGCCCTGTGGTGCCTGCCCATAGGTCTAGGTGGGCATCCGCGTGGAAGGAAAGCCAACGCATCTTTCATGATAGTAACCAATTCATCGTCATTTTGAAGTAGTTGAGTTCACATAAATATAAACTAAAAGGCGATAGAAAGAATTTGCCAAGTAAATTGATGCCATAGCCTATAGCTACTCAATCGGGAGTCAGTCCAGGGTCATATCTCCTAAACGAGGGGGAAACATTTCTATGTGTAACGTCAATGCACGACGTATAAACACGTAACTGAGAGTAATGCCAATGGTGTAGAAAAAGCATCTAATAACAAGAACAAATCTCGATTCAAATCCCCCCACGTCTTAATTCGTAACAATGCCCAACGTTGCAACTTATAAATCACAACAAACGTGCCAGATCTCGAATCAAAATTAACACAGTGAGACTAGGTGCAACAATTCATTCATGTTTAACATAACAGATCCTTAATTACATCCATGAAACTCCAACTAGGACTCTATTAAAACGATAAAAACTAACGTCGATGGTGAATTAGAAGCAAACATACCATCTGAGAACACTGAAATCAAAGCTTGACCACTTCCACTCCCTTCATCTCTTATGTAAATTTCACGTCATAAATCAAAAATCGACCCCTATTTTCCATTGTAACGTGACAATCGACAAATGACGAAAAGTGACCGGAAGTTTGGAGATGAGGTTACCGTCTCCGGCGAAGTGTGATGAGTGAGAAATTGAAGGATCTGATTGGATTGATGTGGTTTGTGAAACATTGTTGTTAGAAAACCCTAGGGAATCGGAGGTGTTTGAATTCTTGTAGAAATTCGCTGATTTCTGGGAGCTTCTTGTGGTTGTGGCTCTCTTCATGTTTCTCTCTGGCTTTTTGGCGGGGAAGAAACGGGTTTTGCTTAACTGTGAGCACTCTGATCCTACAACTTTGGGAATAAATGGAATTAAGAGTAAATTACAAATTTAGTCCCTATAGTTTATCGAAAATTATATTTTTCCTTCTTTTTATTTTTTAAATTACAAAATAGTCATCATGGTATGTAAAAAACGTCCGGATTTGATTTCTTTCTCTAATGACCGTAATATTTCTGTTAACGTGAGACATTTTTATTTTTTTATCAATTTTTTGTGTCTTTTAGACTTTTAGTCAATCAAAACTGATTTTATAATTCTGGTTGTTGTGGTTTTTGATTGGGTAAAACACAAAAAAATTAATAAAATAACGAAATTTTTCTCTCATTTAATGGGTTTTTAACGATCGTTCGAAGGAGGATTTTGAATTCGGATGTTTTTGCAAACCATGATGATCATTTAATAATTTTGAAACTGTAGAAACAAAAAATATTACTTTTGACAAATTATAGGGACCAATTTGTAGTTTTCTCTAAAGATTAATTTAGACTGAATTACAAAATTGGTCCCTCTATTTTTTACTCTTCTTATTAAGAATCGTTCAACAAAAGCTTACATGATGAATGTGTATTAAGCGTCTCTTATCCTATTTGGTTAAGTATCCAAGAGATATAGTAAAGATCGAGAATTTTAGCTTATAAGTAAAGGATAATAATGTTATCCGATTAGTGTTATGGGTAAAATACGTTTATCCATAATCTATTTTGATAATTGGTAATGTTGTTTGATAAAATAAGTAAGAATGGTGACTCTTGCTGGTAAACCATCGTCCATCGTATTTTGTTGCATTTTACCCTTGCTTTTTTTGACAACATATATCTATACTATATTATAAAGCATTTGACAAAAACTATAAAAAACCATTTTTTTTGCATGAAGTACTGTATATTGATGCATATTACTTAAAATTCAAGATTACAAATAAATTATGCATAAGTACAGTTTATTAAAGCTCCATGTTTGAATTCGTGTAACTAACTGCGGATAAACATAATCAAATAGAAGATAAACATCTCATTTTAAAATATAAAAAATCTGAAATATAATAGGATAATTATCGAATTATAACAAAATAATTAATTATTATTTTTATAAGAAAATTATATTATTAAACCAAATATAAATTACTTCGTTATTGAACTTAAATTAAATTATAATAAAAAAATGAATTAAAAAATTATACAAAAAATAGGAAATTTAAATAGTTAATTTGATACTAATATCGACATATTTTTTATCAAATTTTTATGATATTTTCAAATTTATATTTTATTCAAAATAAAAACATATCTTTTTTTAAAATCACACAAGACCATATTATAACATCTACTAAGATAAAGAACAAAATAAAATATTAAAATCAAGATTTATCTCGCTGCATTGTGTGAGTACCCTTCTAGTACATTTTAATATCTGGTCAAAGTTTTATACGAACCACTTGTAAATTATAAGCTTGGTTCCGATACCTTCCTGTTTTATATTTAATATGACAAAATAAGGTGTTGGGTTTTGATGAGAAATATCGTTAAGATAAGAAGTGTAAGAAGGAATCTCTATCCTTAGATGCACGTTATGATGAGATGCACCGGATCAATTCCTATATCAAGCGCGATTCATGGGTGGATTTGAGATTAAAAGTGATCAAGGGTTCAGATCGCTTCTTACACTTCTTATCTTTAACTCTACTTGTCACACGATCTTTAAGCCAAAATGACATTTAAATGTATTTTTGTTGATTGAACCACTAATAATCATTCTTCTATTATTCAACCAAGAAATAGTATCAAGCAAGAACACAAGTTTTTAATTGCATTAATTAATTAATTTAAAAATAGAAAGCAAAGTCAAATACAAGTAAACAAAAAGTCAAAGATTATGTAATACACTTAATTAAATACCAACCCATTCACTTTATCATACAATAATATTTATTAACAACATTTTTAATGGAGGTTATTATAACAATTTAATATTTGTATTTTTTTTCTTGAAATATTATTTATAACTCAGTAATTTAAAAACTCACATAACAGTTTATAATATGATAGTTCTTATAATAACATTTTTTTGTAGGTCTTATATATTTTTTTCCATTATCAATAATTTATATATACATATGTATAAAGTTGGGTTTCGGTAAGAGAGAGAGTTAATGTGAGAAGCATAAGAATGAATCTTCACCATTTGATGCATATTGGGATGACATGCACTGCATGACTGGATCGTCCCCGTATCAAGCGTGATTCATGGGTGGTTTTAAATTAAACGTGATCAGATCCATATCCCTTTTTATGTTTCTCATATTAACTCTTATTCTCATACGATTATTCGCATAATATATGTAGGGTTGAATTCACGTGAGACCAACTTGTTTTTGTGAAACCCTTGAGACCATTTTTTTACACTTGAAACTTCACAACAAAACGCCGCGTTATATATGTAGGGTTGATTCCTATTTTGGAAAATGTATTTCTAAAACTTCCATTTTGGTACCTAAAACGTAAAGTTTTAAACATTTAAGTACTCGGGTAAAACGGTTGAAGTATTAACCGGTTACCATGCTGATGTGGCGAGTAATGTGGTATCAAACTCAGTATTATTTGCTATTTAACCCAATTTCATCTCATTGCTCGTCACATCAACATGATAACCGGTTAATGTTTCAACCGGTTACCCGAGTACTTAAATGTTTAAAAGTTTACATCTTAAATATTAAAATGAAAATTTTAAAAGTAAAATACTGTTTCGTTAAAGTATTAATCATGGTGTATAATTTTATAGATTTTTTTTGACTAAAAGATATTTCAAAAGTCTAATATTCATTATTTTAATTAAACCGCGTCACATGTCTAAATATTGTACATTTTTTTAAGGACCGGAATATAACTTTTTAAGTGTAATGATTTTTTATTAAACCAAATATTTAATACTACTTTTAATATTAAATACAAATTTTAATTTAAATATAATTTAAATTAATAATATTTATCAAATATGCTTTGAGAATGATAAATATTCTTTTAAGCTTGACTTTCTGAGTGTGTGATCGGTTGATAAAAAGGTAGAGTGAGTGGCTTTATTTAAATACAAGATAGATCTTAGGTTTAATGTGAAGTCTCTTAGTCTCAACCGTTGAGTGAGTCAAAAAAATACCTACTCACTTTATGTCTTTGAAGATGAGTTTCGTGTGAGATCGATCAGGGGGGTGTTTGGGATTGTTTATTTGAACTAACTTATGTTTTTTTTACAAAATCACTTATCAATTTGTTATAAATAAGAAAGATTTAACTTCTTCAAAAACTTCTTATTACTGGTTTGACACCGGTATAAGTTGTTTATCCAAACACTCAAAAGTGTTTATTGTCGGTGTCACACCGGAATAAGTCAATAAGTTGTTTTTATAAGCAATCCCAAACACCCCCTAGGATTGCAAGTAATCAACTGTTTTCTATAAACTTTCTTAAGCTTGATCTTCAAATTTATTTTAACTTCCTCTTATAAATCATCATAATTTCCTCTTAATTATAAACTATTCATGACCGTTGATTTTAAAATAAAGGGTTGTGATTAATCATATTATAAATTTAATTTGTTAAATGTGTAATTTCACAAACATATGTGAAATAATTGTTGAAGGGTATTTATGTAAAAGATAATGCGCATTCAATGACATCGGTTACAAATAGTAGAATTCGTATATGTTCAATTGTATTTGTAATTGTTCATATATGTTCAATTTGTGTTCATAATAATTTTGGTTAACATTTGAACTAAGCTATATATATATACACACACACTATTGTGTTCTTTTATCGTGTTGTTATGAGTTTTATGATATTTCATGCTTACATATGTTTCCATGTGCCACTTTAAGTAAATTATGGATTCGGTCCATGCGATACCGTGTTTTGCTAATTCTCGTCTCTAGATTTCAATTATTAAAAAACTCTTTTGGCATGTATTTGTTTTCGATTTGGTCTTTCTCATTGACATTTTTTATTAAGGGGTTGTTTGTTTGGCTTTTAATGGTGACATTAAGAGCCAACCTCTTAATCGGTAAGAGGTAAGGAGTGTTCGGCAACAAAAAATCAAGCCTCTTAATGGTTACATAACCCTCTCTAACCATTTTGTGTCCAAGTCTTCACTAAACCATTCAGATCTATTTTTTTTCCAAATTTGCCCTCTCTACACAGCGCTTCCTTCACATCGCCTCCCACCCCCCACGATCGTTGGTCTCCGTCTTCCCCCCCTCCCCGATCATCGCTCTTCCGGTCGCCATCTCCGGTCGCTCTTCCGGTCGCCGTCTCCTTCTGCGATAATCCCACCACTTCCACGGTCGTCGTTCCCTCCATCTGCTTCCACAGTCGCCATTCGCTTCAGGTATTTCCCCAAAATCGATATCCTCACTTCCCTACATTTGTTCGGTTCAAACGATTTGTTTCTGTTCGATTCATTACCATCGACTGAAACCACATATTGAAACCATAAGTTTGCATCGATTGAACCCTATCACATTTTCTCGTTGAAACCACCGATTGAGACCATCAATTGAAACCGACTGCTCATCTCATTTTCCATTTGTTTGTATTCAAACGATTTGTTTCAGTTCGATTCATAACCATCGACTGAAACCATCGACTGAAACCATCTCATTTTCTGGTCGAAACCACCGATTGAAACCATCTCATTTTCTGGTCGAAACCACCAACTGAAACCATCTACTGGTCGCATTTTCTGCTTGAAACCATCTGTTTGCATCGATTTAAACCATCGCTTGCATCTGTTTGACCGATTGAAACCACCGATTGTGTTTGCCATCTGTTGAAACCATCTGTTTAAAAGAATAGTTTTTAGAAGAATCATTTATAGATGATAAACAATAGTTATCAAAGACTGAATCCAAGACCAGCCTCATGATCGATATCTTAAAAACAATTGGGGATTTTTGCCTATATGTTAACATTATATTCATCCACCTTGAACTTTGATTTATGTCATGTTGTATAAAGATTATAATGGGCATCATCATCATGAGGGTTAAAATGATAATTTATTGTCATTCAAAGAACAGTTACCAAACATTCATATTTCATTCAGCACTTAACCATTCTGATCCTCTTAACCATTCTGACCACTTAACTATTCTGCACCAAACCATTCAGCAACTGCCAAACAACCCCTAACTTCAATTATATAAGCAATAATTCATACAATTTTCTTCTTAAAACCCGACAAGCAAACTCTCGCTCTCCCTCGCTCAACAATTCTTCCCAGGATTGCATGAACTTGTAGAATTGTGTATATCTCCATGTTTTTTTTAAATTAAGCATGTTATACGAGCTATATTTTTTTAAAGAAAATGTTATGCATGAAAAACAAGTTTTAGCCCAGTGGGTATAAGGTCAAGTACCAGGACGCGCGGTGATGGCGACGTAACAAGTTTTCACAGTTGATGCAAGGAAACATTAATGCATCGTGATCGTGAGGGTGCTTCTACACATGAATGATACAAGTTAGTCAAAAGTATGGGACAGTGGTTTCTACAAGTTTGACTAGGACAAGTTATCAAGTGTTAGGTCATACCATGTCGGATAATATCTCAATTATTTACATTTCATTTGGCATGAGTGCAGGTTTAAAACACGTACATGCATAAATGTGCATGAAAAATGCATGTTCAAATTGCAACATGTCTTATGCGTACGGTTATGGAAGTACTTGTTAATGGAATAGTTGATGTTTTACCTACCATTATGAATTCACCAGGGAGTTAAAATAACTGGTGGTATGTGAGTCAGGAACTGATAAAGGTGAACGCCATGAGGACAATGATTTGACGTAGAGATTTGTTCTAAATATTACTACKAACTGTGTTTATATTATGTTTTGTTGAATTGTCATTGCCCATTGGTACAAATTTTCATATTAAAAACATGTAAATTCAGCTTTGTTAAAAACCATGATTACAATTCCAAATGGTTGAAATACATTAGATTCTTATTAATATTCTTCAAAGATTAAAGTTGTTATTACTAAACAGTCTAAATGACATAAAAGACAAAGTTATACCTCAAGAATCATAACTTGATCAATAAACTTAAACAAGAAATAGATCGTACATAATTGTTCAACATCGAAGCATATCTAACAATTTCTCCAACATTGGAATGGAATTGGAGTGACTGAATGGTTAAGAGAAACCCAACATACAAAAGTATTTAGATGGTTGAGGCAGACATTTTTTTTGCCAAATAAAATTCATCTTTTAAAAATTCCAATACTACCTCTTAATAAAACTATTAAAAGATAAACAAACAACCCTTTACAAATACGTACCTAAAAGTATCTATCTACTTTTCTATGTAAAAGAATTTGATAAATAATGCTTTCCACAATCAAAGGAAGCTTCCTTGGATAATTAAAACACGTGCTTAAAATGTGAAAAGAGAGGGGAATTTTATCATAATTACCAATTTCTACACCCAATCCGAATCCGCCTCCGCCGGAACCTTCACTGTCGACTTCGCCACCGCCTTCCGTTCAGCCGGTCGCGGCCGACACCTATAATAACACCTCATCACATGTTCCAGATTCTCTTCATTTTTACCCCCTTCCCATTCTGTACATTTTCAAATTCCCCTGTACGAATTGCAACTTTCTTCCCCATTAAGATACATCATGATTTGCGTTTGTATTCTTGTTTGATTGTTTAATTATTATTGATGTTGTGATTTTGTTCGGTTTCCATGGAGGTTAATGATTTGTGGGTGATGTCTCCTCCCTTATCATCTCCTCCGTTTTCCAGCGATGAAGAATTTCAATCTGAAAACCTAACCCTAACCCTAATTCCAGGTTTGCCGGATGATCTAGCAGCTTTGATTCTTTCGTTTGTTCCGTTTTCTCACCACAATCGCCTCAGATCTACCTGTAAATTATGGAAAAATTTCTTCTCATCGAAAACCCTAATTTCAATTCGCCGGAAACACCTTCATTCCTCCCATTTATCTCATCTTCTCTGTATTTTCTCCGACGACCCCACGATTTCTTCCCCTTACTTATTTGATCCACAAAATCTCGCTTGGTGTCAGCTCCCTCCTTTGCCATGTAATCCTCACGTCTACGGTCTCTGTAATTTCACCTCCATTTCTCACGATTCTCATCTCTATGTACTCGGCGGGTCCCTTTTTGACACCCGATCGTTCCCACTTGACCGCCCATCGCCGTCGTCCTCCGCCTTCCGTTTCGATTTCACAACACAGGGTTGGGAATCACTTTCCCCTATGCTTTCCCCTCGTGGGAGCTTCGCCTGTGCCTCCATTCCTAAATCCGATCGGATCATCGTTGCCGGTGGTGGGTCTCGGCACACCATGTTTGGAGCTGCCGGAAGTAGGATGAGTTCTGTTGAGATGTATGATATTGCTACGGATGAATGGACGGCGTTGGATGGATTACCGAGGTTTCGAGCTGGATGTGTTGGATTCATGGTGGGCAATGAGGCTGATAACAAAGAATTCTGGGTTATGGGTGGCTATGGCGAATCGAGAACGGTTTTGGGTGTTTTTCCGGTGGATGAGTATTACAGAGACGCGGTGGTGATGGATTTGAAGAATGGTGGGGTGGGGAAATGGAGAGAACTTGGAGATATGTGGGAAGAAGGAGAAAGGAGGAGATTAGGGAGAATTGCTGTAATTGAGGACATTAATGGAGGTTCTCCCTCTGTTTTCATGCTTGACAAGAGTGACATTTTTAGGTAAGTTGTTGTGACGTTTCTTGTTTGCAAAAAACCATCTTAAAATGCATACATTCTTTTGGATATTTACTTATTTATGTTCATGCTATATTTAGGTTATCTGAAATCTTGTTATGTATTTTAACAAGATGATCCTGGTATTTTGAAGTTGGGTTCTTGAATCTTGAATAACATGATTGTAAGCTTTTGCAAAATGAATTATCACCAAGTAGAAGTGTAGTTTGTTTCTCTAGTCGTGGGATCCGGCATGTGTCTCGTACGAGAGTCAAACCCCCCAAGCTTGTGGTTGCTTGGTTGGCAATTGTTATTCTAAGGACCGAAAGCTTTGTGGTTTGTTTATAAACTGTATGACATGATAACTGCCAACCGAGCCTAAGATTGCATGAGAAACGAACTTTTATTGTGTCAAAACGAGACCAACAAAGGGTCTGTTTGTTAGCAGCTTAATGAGCTTAATGGGACTCACGGCATATTCGATGATATATAACTGTTTGGTAGTGGCTTTAATGATATAGAAAGTGGCTTATTCAGTAAGCTTCTAGGGTGAGATGTATGCAGACGTGACCTCTACTCAAAGAGTGGAGCGCTGTTTCAGTGAATACCCTCGGCTAGTGAATATTACGAATTTGGAAACAAAAATTCTTATAGCATACTTGCCATTTATACTATATTCAAGATAAATAACACCTGATGGGACGTTTTTGCAGGTATGACATGGCTTCTAATTGTTGGAAATACGAAACTAGCATCCCAAAAAAACTAACAGATGAATCATCGACCGGGTTTATTGCACTCGATGGCGAGTTGCACGTTATGGGCTCTATCAATGGAGGTGATACAACAGATAACAACTGGAAATCAAGACAGCAAAAGAGGTCAGCATCTCTGTTCTTTCAGATATATCATCCTCAGAAGAAAGTATGGAGAACCCTAGTCAACAAACCACCATTCCCGCAGTCATTAGATTTCAAAACTGCAGTTTTATGCACTATTCGAATATAGGGTTCATTGGTGCTGGATCGATGTGTGTAATGTGTTGTGTTGCTATCATACATGAATTTGGTAGTCCCTAATGGTTTTTTTCAACCAACCTTTCACTCACCTATTCAAATACTTGAAGATTTGTATGATTACTTTATTTGGGGGGAATAGTCTTTGGATCAACTACTCTATCCTTTGTTACTTAAATTGTTCAAATATGGAAAATAAATTAAATATATGTTAATTTTGTATTATGTAGTTATTTGTATGTGGTTTTTTTTGGAAATGGCCGATCCCAGGCTTTGCCCATACTAATCCATGGCAAGTCGTGACTATAGGCGTATAGCTCAGATGTAAGGGGGGGCTGGTTACCAAACTCTTACCGGTAAAGGGTGTCACTTTCCTTACCGGTGAGCATGACAAGGATGGAAAATCTTTACCCCGATATGAGTCATAGTAAAGACCAAGAATTTTCTGGGTAAGTGATGGAGAAGACTCTTACCCAGTAAGCGGTTATCGAGTAGAACATGCTTACGGCAATTCATTTTGATGGTCGAGAATGTTACTCAATAAGTTAAGTCGGGGTGATTATTCTTGCCGATAAGCATTTACCAGTAGGTGTTTCTAAATCTCTCCGAGGCCACGAGGGCATAAAAATATCAATCCCAATTGCATTTTGCTGGTATGCGTGGTTAGAATAAGGTAGTGGCCGACAAGTTAGGCGGTAAATTAGTGCTGTTTGGTAAAATCTAATTGATAAACTAAATGACGATGTAAGATAATTTGAATATGTTTGTTGTTAAAAAAATTAAGAAGGGCATGATTGGGAAATGGTGGAAAAAAGCTGGTGGAACTTATTGAAATGGTAGCATTCTAAAACATCAATCCCTCTCTCTTTATCTCCTTTCAAACCGTTGGTTCTTCGTCCCTCAGACAAACCAATTTATCCATTAAAAGATTAAGACAACGTAACTCATATATGACTTAATAGAAAAAATTAACAGATACTCATCTTATGGTAACCAAACATGGCCCAAGTGAGCATCATCTTTCTGCTAAATTTTACCTCTAAAGGACCTATAAATGCTTTAATTGTAGCGTAGGAACTCGTATACATCAATCCTCACTCGACCACTTAATTCCTTGCTTACGAATTATCACCTGCCAAGTTGGTCGTTTTTATTTCTCTCTTTATGTCGGTGGCGAAGGAACTCTTGTTTGTTCTGGGCATTTGACATATGTCATCATACCGTGATGCTTGCCCGGTAAGTTCACTAAGAGTGCAAGTTTTTGGTTCGATTTTGGTTATTTTAATCGGTGAAGGATGTAGTTTTCTATTACCAACGGCTTGAACAAAGATATACATCATGATTACTGTATAAAACATTGTTGAGTAAGATGTATGACATTAACCAATATGAATATGATACTATATGTTATACACATGATATTTTAATAAAAATAGTTGATGATTAATCAAATGCATAATCTTTCGTTTTGTTTATACATGAAATATCAAATGAGTGATTAATGACTACAAATTACTATGAAACGGTCAAAGCAGACATATATGCAACAAGTATAAAATAAATCTCTTTTGAGGATCTTTTATATGTATCGAAATATACACAACTCAATTCAATAAAAAATCAGAAACAAATCGAAATATCTCACAATCAACCATTTCGAAATAAGGAAATTCCCCCTTTTTTGCAACTTCATCAATATAACCAATAACCATCGAGTGTCTTTGCTTGTCGATGACGACAACCAAATCGATACCAGATCAAGGCTTTTTGTATAGGCAGATATATGCTTAGGCCAAAGGTTGCTCGTGCAACCGTCATGGGAAAAAGTTGGGGGTTTTAATGGTATACATGCTTTAATTTGATGTAAGTTTTTGAAGTTAATAAAAAATTGTGAAGTTGGGGGTTTTAATGGTATACATGCTTTAATTTGATGTAAGTTTTTGAAGTTAATAAAAAATTGTTGTAACTTACTGTCACTGTCAATGTCATTGCATGTGTCATTACAAGTATGTAAGTTCAAATTATTTTTGTTTTGGTGACACCAACATGAATATTTTTTTTTTTAAAACCACTTATATATCATTTTTAATTAAACCGTATATTTTATAATTATTCTTTGTGTTTGCAAAAAAATAAAAAAATAAATTGGATTTGCCCATGACTTTTAAATAAAAATAAAAATGAAGAGTTAAATCATGATTTTCATCTATGTGGTTTGTTAATAATTTCTAGAGTAAATTACGGATTTGGTCTATGTGGTTTTGTGTTTTTTTACGAAAATGGTTTTTGAACGTCATTTATCACAGATTAGGACTCGTCGTCTGTTGTTCTATAACGAATTGATCTCTCCCTCTAATGGCCATCCAGTTCCTCCGTTAACTTTCAAGACATTTTCGTCTTTTTTCAGTTTTTGTCTTTACTCGAGGGATCAATTTCGTAAAACATGTACAAACCACAAGGACCAAATATGTAATTAAGTCTAAAAACTAAAAAATAAATAATTTTTTTATACTTTGAGATTATTAAATTAATTAGTTATTATACTTTAACATATATTCGTTATTATACTTTAATTTTAATTTTAATATATGATTTTTTTTTCCAAAAAATATATATTAAGTAAATCTACGCGTGTATATATATATATATATATATATATATATAGAGAGAGAGAGAGAGAGAGAGATGAGCTATCAAACGCAAACAACTCATATTTGTACAAACCGTGCAAATCACTTTTATCCGTCTATTTCATTTTTTAATCTTATTATTTTTTAGTGAGTTTCTAAGAGAAAATGACATCTATCAATCATTATATTAATTGATTCAATAAATATGATTAAATGGACATTTACAACAATATTTTTTTTTAAATTAAAAAACCTTTGTTCCACTTATTTTGTATTTGAAAAAAAAAGACAAAATATAAACAAAAATCGAGCGCGAAATATTACACCAAAAATTAATCATATTTCTCACTAATTTAACATCTATGTTGATATATTTCTTATCCGGGTTTTTTTTCGTGATTTTCTTGTTTTTCGTTTATTTTGTGTTGCGAGAGAGAGAGAGGGAGAGTTGAGTTCAGAAAAAAACGCTAAATAAATGAAAAACCGAAAAATCATAAAAAATTGATGAAAAAATAAATAAGTGTAGTGAACTTTATTTGGCTCGATTTTTATGTTTATTTCATTTTTTCGAATAAAAAATAGTGGTGGTGAGATTTTTCTTAATTTAAAAAATATTTTTATAAACGTACAATTAATTACATCTGTTGAATCAATAATCTAATGGTCGATGGAGGTGATTTCTTCTTAACAGTTGAACCTCATTATGTATAACTATGTGTGTGCTCGTGCACACACACACATGTGTGTGAACGTACGTGCATATACGTATATAATACATATTATTTTGAAAAAAAATATATTATATATTTAAACAAACTTAAAGTATAATAATTAATATATATTAAAGTATAATAATTAATTAATTTGATAAATTCACAATATTTGAATTTCTTAGACTTAATTACGGCTTTGGTTCATGTGGTTTATGTGGGGCTTTATGAAATTTGGTTCCTCGAGTAAAGATAAAAAAACAAAAAGGACGAAAATGCCCTTAAGGTTAGCAGATGAGCTGGATGATCGTTAGCGGGAGGGACCAATTCATTAAAAAAGCGACATACGACGAGTCCTAATCTATAAAAAACGAAGTTTAGGGACCATTTTCGTAAAAACCATCAAACCACAGGGACCAAATCCGTAATTTACTCTAATTTCTATTTTAGTCAATGTGGTTTAGAAAATTCAATTTCCGTCTTTATGATTTGTAATTTATTACTATTTTCATTCATGTAATAATTTATACATTTAAGTACAAGGGACCAAAACAACAAATAACAGTAGACTATAGTGAACGAAAAAAAAAATAGTAAATTGTAGATCATAAAGACAAAAATAGTAACGAATTACAAACTGTAAGAACAAAAACCTCTTTCTATACCACATGGACAAAAATCACAATTTTTAATAAACTCGATAATAATTAAAAAAAAACGTAATTTAATCTGGAATAAATACTAAAGACAATAATTTGAAGTTGGTGGGTGTCTTATTCAATATCATAGTATCACAGTTGTTAAAACACAAGATGCTCGTGATTGATTAAGACCTCCCTCCAGTTTTGATGGGCATAACCATCTCAGCACAGTACATTCCACAAAACCTAATTTCAATTTTTTAAAAACACTTTATAAATTGTCACGTGTTGTAAAAAAGGCTTCTAAAAATGGCTTAAGATTAAAAAAAATGTTTCTGTTAAATATTTATGTTTGATAACCATATACTGACTTACTGAATAAATTTATGTTTAACTACAAAAATTATTAATTTTAATTAATAAATATATTTAAATACAGAATAAATGTTCATTCATATTAATAAGAGTTAATTATGGATTTGGTCCTTATGCTTTGACAAAATTATGATTAATGTATTTGAATTTGAAAATTTGTGAATTTGGTCCTTGTAGTTATCAGTTTTGCATGACTACAGCCTCTTTCTCTAACTTTGTTAATCGTGACTCTGTTACACACACACACAAAAAAAACCCTACACCTTACATCATTGGATCCTTCCCACCCATCGTCGACCTCATCACAACATTGGTTTCCTTCGATTCCAGTCACTGGACCCTCTCATCACCAACCTCAAGTTCCAGCCTCCTTTTCCATCTCTGACTTCCCCTAAGACCTACAACTTCTCTATTGGTTTCTTTATATCTTCATCGATCCCCTTCTCCACCAAACACAAATGCAAACTTCACCTCCTAAATCAAAAAAACCTATGACGAGGAGGTGGAACTAGAGGTCGCCAGTGGGAGGGATCCAACGGTGTAACACCCCAAAGCCCAAAGCAACGAACTAGCCCAATAACTTCGAATCCAACTTAAAACCATGGTGGAAGTTATTAGTAGCCCACTACTTGGGACTTATAAGGAGCTAACAATTCTCACTTTCTATCCACGTGGGACGAGTTGTTACAAACGGCATGACCTAGAAAAGACCAATGGTATTGTGAGGAGGTCGACGGTGGGAATGGTCCAATAGTGTGAGGTGTCACAAATTTTATGTGTTTGGTTCCTATGAGAATGAAAATAATGATGAGAAAGATAAGAAATGATCTCCACCTTTAGATCCATCTCAATT